ACTGGCCGCTCCGTCGTCGTTGTCAACATCGCCACCAGCATCGCTACTATGATTGATCATCGCGCCTACCGTCGTCGACGTTGCCGCGACGCCGCGCCCGCCAGACTCGCCGACCCGCACTGGAGCGCCCGCTGGGGCGCGCCCAGCGGTCAGCGACACCGCGGCCACATCGGTCGCGCCAAAAAGGCCGGCCGCAGCGCGCACTTGGGTTGGCGCGGCCGCAGAGACGAACCAGCCGGCGCCAAGCACTCGTCGCAATCGCAACAACGTGCGCTTTGCAAACCCAGCCGCGGGCGGGCGCGCGAGCAGGGGAGTTTATAACTCACTATTCTCCTCTCTTGCAACAGAGATTCTACCCCCGCCACTCCCCCAGGGTTATCAACTCGGCCTCGCATATTTTAATTTACATACGATTCTGCCCATCGCCCATCCTGACCGTGAAATCATGCACCCCAGCCGAGCCGGCATCCCCCCCGCCCCCGCCACGCTCTGCAAAAAAATACTGCGCGCTCACACTCGCTGATCAAAGATCCTAAGTTATCAGTGAGCCCTTGCAACAAATCTGTCGAAGTGCACACGCGCGCGCAACAAAAAAAAAACTGACCCAACATCTTAGGAACATGCTACCAGACGGGCTTCGCGTGCGCGAATGTCGAAATCGCCCGAACGCCCTCGCGCGCGCGCCGTCGCGAGAATCCTCTGCAAAAAATACGAAGTGCACGCGCGCGCGCGTCGTCGAACGCATGCGGACATCAGTCAAAACACTCAGGTTGCGTAAGGGTGTCAAAACCGAATGTCCAAAACACGCACGAAGAAAACTCGCGGTCTCACAACATCAACAGTCAAAAATGCTCGCGCTCGCGCTCTTTTGGATTCTCAGAAAACTATAGGTTGTTCCACAATGTTCTCGGAAGTGTGCCAGTTCGCGCGCCCTTGCGCGAGAACTGGGGGGGGGGGGGGGGGGGGCGCGACCCGCGTCAAATAATGCCACGCGGGCCACTCTCGCGAGTTAGCCGCGACCGCATGTCGAACTCTTTCCGAAACCTTCATCGCCGACGCGAAGACGCCGTCATCGTCGTCGGCGCGACAAGCATCTGCGCCGTCACTTGCCGCGCCGTCGTCGTTGTCCGCACCGCCACCAGCATCAATACTACCATCGTCGCGTCTACCGCTGTCGGCGTTGCCATGATACCGCGCCCTCCCAAGTTGCCGACTCGCACTGAAGTGCCCGCTGGCATGCGTCCAGCGGTCAGCGCCACCGCGACCGCGTCGGTCGCGCCAAACTAACTGGCCGCTGCGCGCGCGCTGTCGTTGGCCCGGCCGCAGAGACGCATCAACCAACGACAAGCACTCATCGCAATCGCCGCCGCGCGGGGCTTGCCAACCAAATTGCGGGTGGGCGGGTGGGACGTTGGCAAGAGCATGGAAGGTGCCAACTCGTTTGTGAAAAAAATGGCACCGCGCAATTTGCATCGCATATATTGCACTACATAATGTGCATCACATGCAAGTGCGCCACATAGACTGCACCGCACAAACTGCCAGAAATTACCGTTTGGGGCCCACGCTGGCTAACATGATATAAATGTTACACGCATACATGTTTCATAATGTATGTATGTCTATGTACATATGTATACACAACTGCGAATAAAGCACGGCCGATCAAGACCTTTGCAATTACCGGGGGGTCTTTGCAGCGACGGCATCGCCCATGCACGCGTCGCCCGTGCTTCCGCGCCGCACAGTGTCCAAAGACTTACTGTACAGCCTTGTGAACTGACAGGAGGAGCGCCCTCGCAGCTCGGGCGCTATCCTTGGTCGCTTCAGGCAGCGGCCACCTTATCATAGGAAGTTTCGCTTGTATGTTGTACGCATGGAAAGCAATGACTGCGCGCTCAAGCGCAACACGCTGCGGAAACTCGTCTGATTCTCCGCTGCAGAGGCCCGGGCGAGCGAGAACTGACTGTGGATTGCGCAATTGCGAATGCCACACCGTGCACACCGCCTGCCACTGGCGCGGGCAACGAACATAATGAGACATTGAGTCCAAGGCGCGCGGGTCCTCGGATAGGCGGCAGCCGAAAACACATGGGCTGCACGCGTCACTCGCGCGTAGGCGGCGGCTCGCGGCCCAGCACCCCGCCCAGGTCTCGAGTAGGGCCGAGTGAGCGGCAGGCGAAAAGCCCGAGACGAGCAGCTCTGTGAGCGGCTCCCATTCTATATGTGAGAGAGTCAAAGATTCCCCTGCGTTCGTCCAAGAGTTGAGACCAGAGAGGAAGGTGACAGGAAGGCGGTCGGGGAGGAGCGAGGAGACAAGGTGGGCGCGAACAAACTTCTGCATGCGCAGACGAGCACTAGGGCATTCGGCGAGGAGGCGGGCCCTTCCCGAAATCCACTCACTCAGCGCTGCGCCGCACGCCGCGGCCAGAGCACGATTCTTCTCATTGGGGAACCCCTTGCGCCGCTTCCTCGAGCGTGTGGGCGATCGGTTTCGACTTCCAGTGGAGCGGGGCGAACATGCTTAACGCGCGGGCGTGGAACGAAAGGCCGATATCCGCTGCGCCGCGCAAGCGCCGCGCCCAAAACGGCCAGTTCAGCACAGAGCCAGCGGCACTGCGCATCAATGCCGCTCGGCTGCCGAGCTCGAGGGAAACCGCTTTCAGCGACGTCCAACGCCCCAGCGCCAATAGGTCATCTCGGGGTAGCGCTGTTTTCTGGGGGGGGAGGGGGGGGGGGGGGGCAGGTGCCATGCACGATGCAGCGCCCAACTTTCTTTCTGCTTCATCTTCTGCGGTCACGCGAAGAGCTGGCTGAGGTACAAGGTCTTCCTCGCCGCGCGCTGGCTGTAGAGCATCAGCGAGGTACTGGCGGTCGGGGCCCCGACGTCGGCGGCCAGGTTGGCGGACCGTTGCCAGCCCAGGATTATCTTCTTCCACCTGTGTCCGTCATCAACACTGGGGCCCAGCAGCGCGCCAAGGTACTCTGCCATATCCGTGATCGTCATGCCACCCCATCGAGGTACGAGCTCAGCGATCTTGGCGCGCACCCTGTCCTCCACCGCTGGCGCGAAAGCCTCCGCCAGAAGGATGATCTTGCACTCCGCCGTCTTCAATCAACACTAGGCGCGCCAGAAACTCCGCCGCGTAGGACACCCAGCTCATAGGGCGAAGCATCTTCAGCGACGGAAGCACGCTGCCCACGTCGTCGGCACAGACGCCGATGACCGCCACATCTGAAGTTCGCCGTCCGCGAGTGCATGTCTCTGATCAGCGGGCCCACGCCGACCGCCCAAGCGTTCCCGACCATGGGCGCCCCTGAAGGATGCCAGAAGCGAGAATGCTGAAGACCTCGCTGGCGCCCCCGAGGTTGGCGAAGGCGACGGGCAGGAGGTAGATCGCGTCAGTGATGTTGCGGATGTCCTCAGGAAAACCAGCACTCCCCAGCACCGCTTTGAGCCAGGTCCTGCACATCGACGGGATCGCGTCGCCGAAGTCGCAGAGCACCAGCAGCGGGTCTCTGTCCGTCGGGCCATCTTGCATGGCGACAATGCGAGATTGTGCATCCATCGCCACCACGTGTTCTATTAAGCGCCGCTTCGGGGGGGAAAGCCTTTCTGCGCACCATGGGCCGCTTTCGCGACAATCGGTTTCATCAGCTCGCTGCCCATGGCAGCCACAATCTTGCAGCCCGCGTTCTTCAAGGAGAAGGGTCTCGTAGCCTTGACCATTCTCGTAGCCGTGAGCCAATCGTCCATGTACATATAAATATTATATATACATATATATGTGTACGTGCGCATGGGCGCGCACACATATCGATGACCGTGTTTATCTTGCGACAAACCTGACAAGGTCTCATCGTGTCATTCGCGTATTTGCCTCCCCTCCTGATTCTTCGCATGGCAGCGCCTTCTTGGAATGGCAGCCGTCAGAAGAATCGCCCCGCAATGCTTAGTAAGGAGCCATTGGTAAATAATCATTGGTAAGGTTTCGCCGTGAGGATCCTTCGCAAGGGTCCTTTACTATGGGATCCGTAGTAGGCCTTCCGCCAGCACAAGACCCTGAAGTAGGGCCTGTTTCAGTGGGCGCACGGCAATAAGAACCCTCAATCAGGGTCGCCATGTAATGGAGAATCGCCACGCAGGCGCCTGCACGACGGGCACCCAGCAACAAGGACCCACGCAACAAGGATTCTGCTGCTGTGGCCCAATGAACGAAGATCCCTCAGCAAGGGCGCCGTTTCCTGGCACGCGCATTCCGCACTGACATATTCGCTTAATGGAACACTCCGAACGAGGCCCCGCCGCGCGCAGCTTCCAAAGTAATAGCCCCTTTTGTTAGTGAGAGGATGTCAGCAAGGACCCCTCGGCCAACGAGCTCCCATTTAGAACCCGCCAAGCCCGACATCGGGTTTAGGGTTTTGGGTTCGCACTGGACAAAAAAACGCATGTATATGAATGAGGAGAGCCTATGGTTATAGATGCGTAGAAAGCGGTAGCTGTGTGTTCACCTGCATATACAAATGTCAAAACGCATGTATTTAAGTTTGTCGTCATATGCACGCATGCGTATGCAATAAGTATGTGCCGTGCTGTTTTCCCAGGACATTGTTACTGGTCAGTCCCTCCTTGAACAAGTTCCTGAGCTTCTGTTTATCAGAAAACGTTTCTGTACAAGTCTAGACACGCATCATCACTTTACACAGCATTGGGCCGAAGCTGCTGACCTATCTTAGAAGCGTCTCCTTGGAGGCATTCGACTAGTATATGTGCCAGGTGCTTTCTATGTTCACGCTCATCGCATTCATCATAACTCGTTCGAGCCTGAACATGGAGGAGCCCTATCGCATTGCAAACAAAAACGATTGGTTGTTTCGAACTGAGCGCGGAGGTTCCCCGTTTGTGGTGGTTTCCCTTTGACAAGTTTCAAGCAACTGCATGCCACGCGTACTCACTCATACCTAGGTTATGCCCGGGGCGCGCGACGCTGCCGCTGCGCCTGTGTAGAGCTTGTCGCGGAACTCAGAGTTGAACGGCCCGCAGTAGACCACAAAGGCAACCACGCAGCCCACGTCCCCGACGAGCCGCTTCCGCCTCAGCGCGAAGTTCTTGGCGTCCTCCACGCAGGCGAGGCCAGGGCCGGGAGCAGGGAGGGGGTGCGATGATACCGAAGAACTCCCAGACTGTGACTGCGCAGGTTTTTCCCCGCCTTGCGCGCAAGGACGCATCGAACGACTTCTATACCAGAGCCCAGGCGGTCACGGACCACGCAGCAAATACACACATGTATGCACACCAGTCTACAGCAATCCTGGCAGCCATCAGGGGAGGATGATGTGGACAATCTCAAGCACGTGAGAAAGGTGCGCACGTCAACTCGCGAAATCAGTCTGCAGCTATGCCGACAGCAGGAAATGGAGGGGAAAGGGGGAAGCAACCGACAAAGGCAACGCGGAGACAAGAGCGCACCGCCAGCAAACAGTCGTGTCCAGCGCTGCTGAATTCCCGTCCTGGATCCCTGGGGAACGGTGAATCCGCCGACACCCGCTTGGCGTGTGAGACACTTGGCTGTCCTCTTCTAGAGGCCTCCTAGGTGGGGACAGAGTAGATGGGGTCGAAGGGTCGCGCCGCATCGCCAATGAATCGCCGATGCATCGGCGATGCATCGGCGATGCATCGGTGACGCCAGCGACGCATCGGCGTGGGGAAACACGGGCTCCACATCGAGCCGCATCGTCGATGCATCGGCGATGCGGCGCGAACCTCCCACCACATCTACTCCGACCCCATCTGGGAGGCCTGGATCTTCGGCGCTCGATTCCCCCCCCCTCTCCCATCCCCCTCCCCCTCTCTATCCTTCCCCTGCCCTCGGGCTTCCTTGCCCCTGCGCTCCGTGCTCTCTCCCTCTCTCTCTCTCTCTCTCTCTCTCTTTCTCCCTGCTTGGCTCCCCTCCCCGTCTCTCCCCGTCCCTCCGTCCGTCGGCCCAGTCTGTCCTTTCCTGTCGTCCTCTCTTCCTCTCCCCCTCCGTTTCTCGCTCCTCGGCTCCTCGCTCTCCTGCCCGTGTCTGCCCCTTGCCCGGCCTGCTGTTCTTTGTCGGCCCGTCCCGTGGTCCGAAGAAGAGCTGCGGTGGTCCGCACTGCCACGCTGGCGAATAGCCAGGCGTGGCACGGAGAATTGCAAAAGTTGTGGCTGCCAGCCACTTCTGGTTGTACTCGCCCATGGTCGTGGCTGTTCTCTGCTCTCTGGCGCGGCTGGCGTCTCACCAAAGGGCGTCTAGCTGTCCCCCTCCTCCTTTCCCCTTCCCCCTGCCCGAAATCTCGTCAAGGGGGGGGTACCCGGCGCACCCTGGCGGCCTCTGGAGCCTCCAAATACAGCCTCCGTCGCCTGCTAGATGCCCAAGATGCTTTCCAAGACGGCATGCCCAGCTCAAGAGCACTCAAGATGGCTTCAAGACGGCCTAAAAGGCCTCCAAGACGCCCCAGGGAGGGCTCCAGGAGAACCCCCAAAAAGGGCCTCAAGAGGCAAAACCACTGATGTTCTCGCCTTGTCGGGTTTCTGAAAATTCAAGACGGCCCGAAACACCCCACAGACCGGCCCCAGCCCAAGGGGTCCCCAAGGGGGCCCAGAGACGGCCACGGAGAGCCCCAAAGACGGCCCCAGACGTCCAAGCAAGCCTTCAAGAGGGCCCCCCAGAAGGCCCAACCAAGAGAGGCCCAAGATGCGGAAACTAACAGAGACCTCGGGTGGTCCCAAGAGACCCCGAAAATGTCCCCAACAGGCCCCAAAACAGTCCCATGAAGCCCCCAGGACCCGTGAAAAGGCTACAGGAGACCACCTCGTAGGCTTTCAAGAGGCCCCCAAGAATCCCCTGCAACGGCCGCGGGAGGAAGAGGCCACCACTCCTCGACAGGCCCTCGGGATCCTAGGGCACCGCTCCTAGGCAATGGACCTCGGTGGATTATGATGGCAACGCTAGCGTGGATTGGGAAAGCACCCCCGAACAGGAAGCCGATGCCGTCTGATTTGGCGACGGAGCGCATCGATGTCGAATGGAGACGGGAACTGTCGCTAATCCACGCGTCTTCAAACACGTTTGCGTTTCTTCGGTGCCCTCTCCTGCAAAGGTGATGCAACTCACCCTGTCCTCCAGAACTCCCCAGGACCCCCCGAAGGCCAAAAAGCGTCCCGAACCACCGCTTCCCCCCAAAAACAAATACCTCGATCCTCGAGCGCTGGCGACGACGACGACGACGACGACGACGACGACGACGACCATGACGACGACGACCACGACGACGACCACGACGACGACGACGACGACGACGACGACGACGACGACGACGACGACGACGACGACGACTGCCTTACTTTTGCAGCTCGCTGTCTACCCTGGTATGCACGGTGTCCTCCGGGGCCGTAGGCGACCCGAGGAGGCGGAGGAGGAGGAGGAGGAGGTGGTGGTGGTGGAGGTGGTGGCGGAGGAGGAGGAGGAGGAGGAGGAGGAGGAGGAGGAGGAGGAGGAGGAGGACGGGTCGCCTGAGCCGTTCGGAGAAACCCTCCACCCTGCTGCCGATCAGGAGGTCTGGGGCCCTCCGGCCTGGGCCCTCCGAGGCTGCCAATGGGGACCAGGCCCTGGAGCGCGCGCGACGGCCGAGCTCCATGGCGGCAGCCGGGGAGAGGCGAGCGTGCTCGGCAGCGGAAGGGCGGAACTCTCTGGAGCGACCGTGGAGGAGGAGGAGGAGGAGGAGGAGGAGGAGGAGGAGGAGGAGGAGGAGGACGAACCCTCAGGCCGTCAGGAACCAGAAACCAGGAGGAGGAGGAGGAGGAGGAGGAGGAGGAGGAGGAGGAGCAGGAGGCTGAGGAGGAGGAGGAGGAGGAGGAGGAGGAGGAGGAGGAGGGATCGAGGTGGAGCAGCAGCGGGAGCAGGAGGAAGGAGGCAGCAGGGGGAAACGGAGGCAGGAGGGGCGGAGAGGTGCAGGGCGGCAGGAGGGAAGGGGGGCAGCAGCGGGAGCAGGAGCGGGAAAAGCTCACGAGCGGCGCACATCTGCGCATCCGCGCCCTCCCGGTCTGGATTCCCGGGCGCGACCTGCCGCGGGTGCGCCATCGCACGGATGCGCTCCGCGCGGGGGGCATCCGCGACTCCGCATCCGCGGGGGCGGCCTGGCGGCCCTGCCGGCGAGGCCGCGGGCACGGGCGTTTGCTTGTCGCCCACGGGGGAGCAGGAGCGGGAGAAGCGGGGGGGAGCCAGCACGGGAGCAGCGGGAGTCCTCGGTCCACCGCGCGTTCTCGCCGGAGAGGCCACTGAGCAGCTTGTTGGCGGCGTCCATCTTCCGCTGCATGGCCGCGGCGCTGTCCTGGAGCGACTTCATTTTGGCCTGCGCTTTTCCGAGCTCAGCGTCAAGGACTGCCACCTCGTCCAGCACCTTCTGCAGCTCCGCGTCCGCCACGGCGAGCTCGGCCTCCGCCTTCTTCAACCGAGCCTCAGCGACCTTCAGCGCATTCATCTTGGGCGTCACGATCTTCGCAGCGAAGTGGTACTGAACCATCGCGCCCACGAACTTGCACAGGCCTTCGGCAGCCGAGCTGGCGCTCAAGGCCTTCTCTGGCGCGAGCACTTTCCAGGGCCACGGGCTCCAATTCTTCTTCTCGTCCTCGTCGTGCCTCAGGTATGGCTCCAGCAACTCGCACGTCTCGTCATTGATGTTGTCCTTCTCGTTGGCAGCGAAGTCGAGAACTTTGTTCAGGAAGCTGATGTCGTTCAGTTCCTTCTTGGAGTGCTCGTACGAGTCCATAATGAATGTAGCCTGGACCTTGTTGATCACGGTGTCCGGATTCGGCTGGACGTCGACCATTGGCTTCGATTGCAGAATCTGCAGGCCGTCGAAGGTCAGCTTGATGATGTTCATCGGGTTCTTGTTGGCCTTCAGGTCCCCGATGTCCTTCTTGGTGATCGAGTTGCAGGCCTGCTCGGCCTCGTGCAGAAAAGGCAGGGCCTTGTCCAACTCCACCTGCGCCTCAGCCTTCTCTTTGGAGATCCCGTCGGCAGTCTGTTTGCAGTCTGCCTTCTGCGCGTTGACCAGCTCCTTCTTCTTGTCGGCCTTGGTCTTCTCGCCCTGCACCTTCACGAGCAGCTCCGTGGTCTTCTTCTCCTCCACCTTGAGTACCACCTCCTGCTCCTTGAGCTGCACCTTGAGCTTCTCAACAAACTCGGATGCCTCTTTGAGCTTCTCCAGCCCCACCTTCACACTCCTCTCCTGCACGTTGATTTCGTTGTACTTCGCCTCGTACAGAATCTTGTAGAAATCAATCAAGCACAAAAAGCTTTTGGGGGTCACGTAGGTGTGCTTGCGCATACGCGTGTAGTACAGCTCACACATGTCTCTGACCGAGGCCTGGAAAGAGCCTGTGAGCTGGTAGAGGCGCTCGCGGTCCTCTGCCGTGGCGTCCACCTTGAACGCCGAAAGGAACTCGGTGCTCACTGCCACCAGCGCATCTTCTGGCCACGGCATGAACCAGTTGATGTTTACGGTAAAGACTGCAGGGAACTTCTGTGCGCGGATGGGGAACTTCGCGTTCACTGGGGAGAAACATAGGCACACATGAAGGTTGTCACGGAGGCGATCCATGAAGTAAGAGTACATGTTCAGAAGATTCTCCTCGAGATGCGGATTGTCCTTCACGAAATCGTTGCGCACTTCACCGCACATCGCGTCCCTCTCGTCTTTGGCGAAGAGACCCACCACTTCGCCAGTGGCGAGCAGCGAGTTCATATACTCGAGGAAATTCTCGCTCTTCACCTCTGCGTCTGTGAAGATAAACGTGACGTTCTCGCCTTTGACTCCGCCTCGTTGATACAGAGTCCGCAGGTCTTCGAACAGCGCGTTGTCGTTATAGCTTTTGGTGATCGTGATCTGGAAGGTGTAGTGGCGGGAGGTGTACGACGCCAGGCGCGCGAGTGACTGCTTGCCGCTGCCCCCGACTCCGACCAACATGGCGCTCCCGCGCTTCTGCTGAATCGTGCGATTGATTTTCATCATGTTCTTCATGGCGTCAGAGAAGAGGACAAGCTGCATCGCCCTCGAAGGGTTAGCCTCGTTGAACTTTTTCAGGTATTCGTACGCCTTCGACTTCACATGATCCCAAGAGTATGCTGGCTCGTAAATCTTTGGCGCTCCAACCTCCTCCCCCGTCTCGTCATCGAACTCCGTCTCTCTCTGGAAGTCCGCAAACCATGGGGTATCCTTGCACTCTTGTCCCAAGGACTCCCCGAAGTGCTGCGGCAAAAATTCGGCAATGACCTTGTCCACGAATGCCTTGTCCTGGTCCCGGCAGAGCTTGTCCGCGAAGACACGGAGGTTCTCGTGCTTCCACAGATTCACCAGCGTGACCTCATCCTTGACGATATCCACTGGGCATTCCATGACGCCCTGGAACACGCGGCTCAGGTCGCGCATGTTGAAGATGTAGTGGAAGCGCAACGGCGTGGGCAGGAGGCTGCGCTTGATCTTGTCCCACACACTGACAGTCGCAGCGCAGAGCTTCTTAGACAGCTCCTGGACATCCGGCTTGGCCCCCGCCTTGACGCTGAATTTGACGCGCATGATTGAGCCGAAGATATTATCCACAGACACCTGCGACGGAAGCACCATGTTGAAGCAGAAGAACTTAGATTTCAGACGGTTGGGAATATCGTTCTTGCCGCCGCCAGGGTGTCCCATCGCGCCGACGTACTGCAGACCCTCGATGGTCTTGAAGTCGCCGCGCTTGTCCTTATCGAGGAAGTAGAAGCCGCCTGCCTCCATGAGCTGCCGAGTCAGCTCGTTGGTCACCTGGTCACCCCAGGTGTTCACGATCGGCATGGAGGCGTCGTCGATAAAGAAGACCATTTTCTTGCCACCAGGCGGGCAAAACGTCTTGCCCGTCTTGCGCTCAATCTCGGCCTCGATGCTCTTCTGGAATCCGAGAGGCGTCGTGGCGCTGCTGAGGTTGAGGCGCTTGGACAGCATGACATCCGAGGAGAACGTCTGCATGTACATCAGCGCCGTCGACGTCTTGGCAGTCCCGGGCGCGCCAATCATCATGGACGACTTGAACGATGGCGGCGTCCTCGTGCAGTCCTGCGCGCTGATGATCTGCATCATGTACTCCGCGCGGCACGAGTCCATCGTGGGAATCAGGAGGGCGGAGAACTGTATCTTCTTAGGCGGTTTCCACTCTACGGGCGTCCACAGCTTCCACGGCCGTCCCTTCTCGGTGTAGTCTGGGTAATACTCGAAGACGGTCTGATCCTCGCCGCAATTCGGAATGGCGTCCTTGTGGCCGTTCGCCTCCAAGATCTCAATGAACTTGTCCCAGAGCTTCTTGCGCTCCTCGGTTTCGCAGAGGCCCCCGAATCCCCACATGATGGCCCAGCACGCCACCCGTCGGTAGGCGTCGTCTGTCAAGACTAAGTTCTCCTCCACGCAGGGCTTGAGAGCGGCGGAAAGAAGATTCAGTACGTTCACGATGATGATCGAGTCGTTAAGGGGCATGACGGTTGTGATGTTGCGCATCTGCCAGTCGAACAGGTCCTGCGCTGCGCCAGCATTCGGCGGCGGCTTGCTCAGCCACTTCTCGAAGAGCGGCTTCAGTATGTCGACCTCACCGGTGCGGATGGCGCCAAGCTCTGTCCGCCGCATCATCCAGCTCTCCACAAGTGGCTGCCACCCGAGGTCGCTAGCGCTGACGAAGATGATACCTGCTCGGGAGACCGTGGCAGGCGAAGCGTTCCGCAAGTTCTCCACCTCGAAGACGATCTTGCAATTGTCAGTCATGGGGATGCGGTCGTTGTTGGCGAGGGTGAGGATCTTATTGTCATCGAGCACCGTGTTAAGATTCTCGATCCAAATGGCGTCTACTGGGCCGTCGCAGATGATCCACGACGTGTACTTCAGCGAGCGATTGTTCTTCTGCTGCCAGATGGAGGCGAACACCCCAGGGGTCCACTCCTCGCTGATGGGGTCTTTGAACCCATACATCTGGGAGTCGGTGATCGCCTTTGGGTTCATCTTGATGATCCTGTGGGGGTTGTTGTTCCCAGTCATACAGTCAGTCAGAACTGTTGCGATCTCCGTCTTGCCGCACAACGTCGGACCCACGAGCATGAAGCCATGACGCACAAGCGACGTCTCGTACAGCTGGATCACCTTCAGAAGCCACGAGTCCCACTCTACGAGCAAATTCTTCTTGATCAGCTCCTTGCTGCCATTCTCGATATCCTCGTAAACCTTCTTGGGCGGATCCGTCACCTTCGGGAAAAGGTCCTTGAGCAGCGCAAGGAACAGCGGCACATCGTCGGCAACCAGCTTCGAAAGATTCATGTCACGAACCGTGCGCATGAAGAGCATCTCCTCATCCGCATCTGGTGGCTCCGAGCGCTCGACCGTGCCGCTCGTTCTCAGCACGCTCAGGATGTTGCGCAGACCGAAGTCGTAGTGTCTCTGCTTGCTGAGCTGCTGTTCGCAGAGGGCGTAGAGGATGCAGAACTTCTTCCCGAGCAGGTCAATGAGGGAGTACCCCACAGAGGCGAGCTTGACCTTCATGATAGTCTCGCGGTTCGGCACCATCATGGCCACGCTCCTGAAGAGCACTTTCAGATTCTCTGGCAACTCCTGCCGGCCAGCGTACCCCGGATTCATTGTGATGAAGTAACCCACAGAGCTTACCAACTTGATGGGGGCAACCTCACCTGGGAACATGAATGTCTTGAGGTTCTGCCGTTTGGCAGAGCAGATGGATTCGACTTGCATCGCCACGACGCTGAGCACCTCGAGCTCGATTCGGTTGAACTCGTCGAAGCAGCCCCACAGACCACTCGAGCATAAGCCCTTGAAGATTTTGGCCATATCGCGGAAGCGGTGCTGGTCGGAGCAATTGGTGACCACGACAAAGACACCGAGCGTGCGGCCCATATCCTTCGTTGTCTCCGTCTTTCCCGTCCCCGCCGGCCCCGCTGGGGCGCCGCCGAAGAACATGCCGAGCGCCTGAGACTGCGTCACGTAGCAGCGGTCCGTCAGAGCGGTGATCACGAGCCGCTCCTTACAGCCAAGGTACTCGTACGAATAGACGAAGTCCACGTCGGCGATGGAGATCACAGCGTTGTCCGTGTCCTGCTTCCAGTAGCAGCGCGTCTGCTTCAGCCACTCGAAGTCGTTCTCGTCCTTCACCTTTCCCTCGCGTACCTTTTTGGCAACCTCTTGGAAGAGGTCCTTCTGATGCACGTGAACGGTGACCAGCGTCTCGAACTTGGTGCGGTTCATTTTGGAGCCCAGGTCGGTGAGGCACATGCCGACGAGGTCGGTGAGCATCTGGATGAACTTCTTGCTCGTCGAGCCCATGATCGTCTTGTCTTTGTCGCGCGACATGCGAATCAAGGCGTCCTCGAAGTCCGCTGTCCACACGAGCTGGATACCCAGCAGGCAGACCTGCGCGATGCTCTTGTGGCCAAAGTCGCCGACCGAGAGGCCGTTCATGAGCTGGCCGATCTCCAGCGAGGCAATGCGGCACTCGCGGCGCACCGAGCGCTGCATCTCTGCCTCCAGCGCCAGCAGCCAATCCTCGATGTTGCCGATGGCCATCACGGGCACCTGCATGTCGACGGTCTCCTCGGCGTTCCCCACCACGCCCTTGATCTTGACGATCTTCTTCTTGTCCACCTTATCGAACTGGACGCGGCTGATGGCGTCAAAGAGTTTCTCGAAGTCCTCTTGGATGCTCTCAGGGTCGCTGCCCTGCGACAGGATCTTCAGCAGCACTGGGTCGGACGTGAAGTAGAAGCGCGGGAACTTGTTCCTCTTGCCCTCCAGGTAGCTCTCCAGCGATTTCTGGCATGTCTCGAGTCCCGCGGACAGCACTGGCAACATCTGCTTCAACATGTCGTTCTGGCAGCACGGCACCACGAGCTTCATCTCCGCAGACTTCTGCATGATTTTGACCCAGTCCTTGTCGATTTGCTGGAACTTCTTGGCCTCCATGGGCATTTGCTTGGCGATGTCTCCACCTGTGAACACTGACTCGAGGGACGTCCACATGGACTGCACCTTGAACCACCTCTCGATGGTGTCGCCGGTGTCCGACAATTGAGTCAGCAGCGCCGTCAGCTCCTCCTTAAACGGAATCGAGTGCCTCTGCGCGTTCATCGTGTTGAGATTCATCATGGTTTCCTCTGGGCTGGCCGACACAAATCAACGACGCACCTGGCAGCTCGCCTCGGGCATCCAGAACGTTGCCCACAGATGAACGCTGCCTCGTCCTCCTGTCCCTCCTAGTCCTCCTCCTCCTCCTCCTCATCATCTTGCTCCTCACTCCTCTTGCTCCTTAATCCTTCTCGGCCGCCTCCCTCCCCCCAAAGCAGAGATTGTTCGATCACGGCTGTTGGGAGTCAAGCCCCAACGATCCTCGAGGGCTTCCTGCGTCTCACCGACCTTGGCGCCCACGAGCACGCAAGGGTAGTCGCGCGCCTTCCAGGAGGAAGACAAGGGGGGTGAGAAGGAGGAGGAAGAGGAGGAGGAGGAGGAGGGGGAGGAGGATGGGGCGCCTGCGTTTGGATCCCGTACCATGGGGCACCGAGTCGAGTGTTCTCGGGCCCCTTAGAGTCGGTTCTTTGTGAAGCGGCCCAGGGACACACCAATAAACAGACACTAATCCCATGTTTTCGATGTGTTTCTTCCCGCCAACTGCCCATATGTTTCACATGTTCCTGGCAATCGACGAGTATTTGTGACTGTGCTTTTTCCCCCTCCCTGACTTTATCCTAACACAACAAATGCTCTTCGAGGGGGGCGCAACTCCGAATGCCAGGCGCCTCGGGGTCTTGGCCTGGCTTATCGCTAGACTCGTCTGTGGGCAAGAGGTCCCCAAGAAAACCCAAGAGGGCCTCGAGTCGCCAACGCATTGCTCCAAGACCATCTTGGCCCGTCTTGGGGCCCTGTTTGGCTTAGGGGGTTCTGGGGCTGTCTTGGGGTTGCCTTCGAGTCTTCCAGGGCCTGCCTTCGGCCGTCGGAAGCCCGACAGGGCGACAATGCGAAAAGTATTGAACAGCTTGTGGAATCAATGATTTTGGACGTCCTGGAGATTCCTTTGAAACCTCTTGGGGCATCTTGGGGGTCTCTTGGGCCGTCCGGAGGGCATCTTTTTTATCTTCAGTTGTTGTTCATTTTGTTTGAAGGCGCTGCGCCGACAGACCCCTCACGGGACGCCAACATGGCCCTCAGGTTCAGGTTCAGCTGTCTACGCCCGGGGGGGCGGCCCGGAAACGGGCGACAAGCGTGCTTAGCACGCTGGCCATTCGAAAAGGACCGGTGCGACTGCTGCGAATGACAACGTGCGAGAAAATTACAGCCAAACGCTGCTGCGAAGAAGCGAAACACAGCCAAACGCAGCTACGAAGAGGCCAAACACCCCACCGCAAGATGACGGCAAAAGATGGAAGACGACGATGGATGAATACAAGTGAAATGTGTTCCCAGCGCTACGCTCTGGGGACGTGTAAAAATACGAGTGGAAGGGCTTCGGAGGGGACTCTAAATCTTAAAAACATGTAGTTTGGCTCGGGACATTCCTCGACAACTCGGCTTCGGAGGAGACTCTGAATTTTAAAGATGGCAGTTTAGCTAAACTCACTGGCCGCACGACTTCTGCCGATGTGCGGGAAGATGAATGTCGACATCGTTTACCGACGAAGCGTGCATAAACACCTGATCAGCATACCTGCGAAGACATGATACGTATTTGCCGTCGGCAGCTCTGTATGGGTGGCAAAACAAGGACGGCATTCTCGAGTGCAGCTCAAGCATTACGCTCTGGTCGACCTTCTGCGGGACTTGGGCGCGCAAATCAGCAGGAGCCAAGTAATCGTCCCATAGCTGGTTGCGCAAGAACCCTGACATTAAATACGGGCCCCGGGCAAAGATCGACTGTGGCGGGGGTCGCACGAAACATATGAACCGCCTCCAGGTAGAAGATGTCTCCCTTTGAAAAACACACTCCCTAGTGCTATCGATTCCTGACGAGAAAAGGCTGCCAGTCAACCATTTCAATCCTATTTCACTCCAATCCAGAGTGGGTGGTCTTACGTACGGGCCAGGTTTTACATTCAGCTCCCGGCTGTGCGACCCTGGTTCCACAATTGACCCGGGGTGCTGCATAGTGAACAGAAGCTGTGGCGTAGCAAAATCTTGGCCACCCAAGCGTTTCGCAAAGAGCTTTAATGATTTCGCGCCCGGATGCGTATGAGAAGTGCTGTCTGGATCAAACGAGCCTGCCCCTGGTGCTTCGTACTCTTTCGAGAAGAGTGTGGTGGTTCCGGTTGGCAAATTGTACCCTATCTGCCCTGTTGTCGTGCCTTCCCAGTAAGCGATGCTGAGGAGACGGAAACCGTAACGCCGATCAGCATCAATAACAAGATCCATAATGACTATTAGCTTGTATTCTCGAGCGTCCCCCACCAAACGATCATCATCAATGCGCAATCCACAGGTGACTTCAGCCTGAGCGGGGTCATACACTGCCCAACCGTCTGTCCTGTTCAGTACACTGTAGCGGTGGAGGTGTTTGCTCATGCCGCCAGCGCCAGCCGCTGTTAGGAAAGAAGCACGGTGCTCAAACACCTCCTGCTTGTACCACAGGTCTGCGATATTGGTCCTGCACACGATGTGATGCACGTGAATGGGAGGCCACGTAAAAAGCTGGCTACCCGTCTTATCTGTAACCATTAGGTGTGCCGACTTCAACCAGAATCCATCGTCAGGGATTGGAAAGACATGGCACTCGATCGATCGTCTCGGCTTTGAAATTTCTTGCCGGGGCCGAGGGTTAAATCAAACTTGACTGTCTAGTGCTCGGAGCCTTCTGCCCCCCCCCGATATCGCGAGTGCACTTGTCGAGATAGAACTGAGATCGCTGTTTGCTATGATGCAGCAGCGACTTCGTCGCCGGACAGCTGAAGGCCAGCTGGAAGCAGGCACTAAAGCAGCACAAACGACAAAAAGTTGCGAACCGCATCGTGGTTGGGAAAGGCCATCTTGACCGTGTTGGAGGTCATCTTGACCGTCTTGAAGGCCATCTTGGAGCCATATTGAGCGGGAAAGCCGCGGGCAGACAGGTTTGAGAGAGCGCGCCCGCAGGGCCCGAGCAAATGGGAGGGGGGGCTAGGCTTAAGCTACCCCCCCCCTCCCTTGAGCCGCCCTTGTTGGAAGCACCCCCCCCCCTCCCCCCTTTTTTTTGCAAGGGGGGGAGCTTACAGCTACCCCCCCCCCTCCCCCCTTGGGCCCTCCCCGGAAGCTACCCCCCCCTCCCCCCCTTTCCAAAGGGGGGGGGGGTGCTTAAGCACCCCCCCCTCCCTTGGCGCCGCCCTGCTGGAAGCTACCTCCCCCCCTCCCCCCCTTTCGTGCAAAGGGGGAGGGGGGCTTGGAAGCTACCCACCCCCCACCCCCCTTTGGCCGCCCCGGAAGCTACCCCCCCCTACCCCCGGGGGGGTGCTTAAGCTACCGCCCCCCTCCCTTGGAGCCGCCCTGCTGGAAGCTCCCACCCCCCTCCCCCCCTTTGTGCCAAAGGGGGGGGGGGCTTGGAAGCTTGCCCCCCCCCCTTGCCCCCTTTGGCCGCCCAGCCCCCGGAGCCTCCGCCCTCCCTTTCGCCGACGATCCAAAATGAACAATCCACGATCGAGGATGGACGATCGACGATCAACGATCGACGATCGAAAATCCCAATCGAATCGCTTGCAATCGATTGCACTCCATTCCACTGCAATCCCCCTCCCCACCTCCCTCCGCTCCCTCCCCTCCCTCCACACCCTTCGTTCCATCTCCTCCCTCCCCTCCCTCTCCTCCCCTCCCTCCCTTCCGTCCTGTCCCTTCCCTGCAATCCAATCGATTGAATCGATTGCAATTCAACCGATTGCAATCCAATCGATTGCAATCCAATGGATTGCAATCGAATCGTTTGCAATCCAATGGATTGCAATCGATTGCAACGCAAATGTATCATTCAACTCGTCCCGTGCCAACGCCCGGGAACGAAAAATTACCCTGGCGACGTACCCAACCCCTGCGCAAACGCGGGGCGCAAATAGTTTAGGACACTTTATAAGGGGGGCGATGACGGAGCGAGGGTTACATATGTCTGCAGACGGAATTCGGGAGACTCGCAGGAAACTGGCTTCAGGACAAGGACTAGATAAAGCTGATTAGTTGCAATCCCTGAGCAACCCTAGCCACTTCGAAAGCGGGGATCTCAGATCGCAGCCCCCCAGGGATGGCGAGGTCTAATTTGGGTCCGCGCGTGGCGTCACTGTGCTGGGCCCCCCAGCAGGCCTCGAAAGTGGCGACAGTTTCACAGATCGCAGCCCCCCAGGGATGGCGAGGTCTAATTTGGGTCCGCGCGTGGCGTCACTGTGCTGGGCCCCCCAGCAGGCCTCGAAAGTGGCGACAGTTTCACAGATCGCAGCCCCCCAGGGATGGCGAGGTCTAATTTGGGTCCGCCCGTGGCGTCACTGTGCTGGGCCCCCCAGCAGGCCTCGAAAGTGGCGACAGTTTCACAGATCGCAGCCCCCCAGGGATGGCGAGGTCTAATTTGAATCCGCCCGTGGCGTCACTGTGCTGGGCCCCCCAGCAGGCCTCGAAAGTGGCGACAGTTTCACAGATCGCAGCCCCCCAGGGATGGCGAGGTCTAATTTGGGTCCGCCGTGGCGTCACTGTGCTGGGCCCCCCAGCAGGCCTCGAAAGTGGCGACAGTTTCACAGATCGCAGCCCCCCAGGGATGGCGAGGTCTAATTTGGGTCCGCCGTGGCGTCACTGTGCTGGGCCCCCCAGCAGGCCTCGAAAGTGGCGACAGTTTCACAGATCGCAGCCCCCCAGGGATGGCGAGGTCTAATTTGGGTCCGCCGTGGCGTCACTGTGCTGGGCCCCCCAGCAGGCCTCGAAAGTGGCGACAGTTTCACAGATCGCAGCCCCCCAGGGATGGCGAGGTCTAATTTGGGTCCGCCCGTGGCGTCACTGTGCTGGGCCCCCCAGCAGGCCTCGAAAGTGGCGACAGTTTCACAGATCGCAGCCCCCCAGGGATGGCGAGGTCTAATTTGGGTCCGCCCGTGGCGTCACTGTGCTGGGCCCCCCAGCAGGCCTCGAAAGTGGCGACAGTTTCACAGATCGCAGCCCCCCAGGGATGGCGAGGTCTAATTTGGGTCCGCCCGTGGCGTCACTGTGCTGGGCCCCCCAGCAAGCCTCGAAAGTGGCGACAGTTTCACAGATCGCAGCCCCCCGCAAGCAAGACAGGAGGAGGCAAGAGGGAGACGGGACGGGAAGGAGGAAGTGGAGACCACACTGCTCTATTCAAAACGAATACCCAACCAAGGAGGGTTGGGAAAAATACTATCCCCCCCGAAAGTTGCACGAAGTGTAATTCGGAAAACGCCAGCCCGTCGGGTTTGGCAGTGTTCGTGTAAACGGCGGCCAGCTGGGGGAGGAGGAGGCGGAGGATGGGGGAGGCCGAGGGGGGAGGAGGAGGAGGAGGAGGAGGAGGAGGAGGAGGAGGAGGGAGGAGGAGGAGGAGGAGGAGGAGAGGGGAGGAGGAGGAGGAGGATGCCTCCCGCCGCCGCTGCCGAGGCCAGAGGACGCCTTTTATCGGGGCGCTGAGCGCCCGAGCAAGCTTCAGTGAAGGTGCACCGGCACAGATGATTGGGCAGCGGGCGGAGGCGCGCCAGACGACCAGCTGCACGACACTGAGACGAGGGTACAAATTGACGCGCGAGGGAGGGAGGGCTGGGAGCGCAAACAAAGAGACCTCAAATGGCCATGGAATGGCAAAGGAATGGTGCACTGATCCATGGCCCTGAAATGCGGCCTCTCCTGCTGTGGCGTCTGGCAATCATCAACGAAGTAGTGGGCATGCCTCCCGCCGCCGCTGCCGAGGCCAGAGGACGCCTTTTATCGGGGCGCTGAGCGCCCGAGCAAGCTTCAGTGAAGGTGCACCGGCACAGATGATTGGGCAGCGGGCGGAGGCGAGCCAGACGACCAGCTGCACGACACTGAGACGAGGGTACAAATTGACGCAAACCTGCCAAACAATCCTTGGTCATCTCGATAAACAACTGAACTATTCACCGTTAAACAAAAAGACTGGACAATGCAATCGTCTTAGAACTGCCATGAGCGTGATTGAAGCAACGAGCGAGGGCTTTGCACAAAGCAGGAGGATACTGCTGAGCGGCTTTCGTTTTAAAGCCGCCCCCTTGGGCGAGGCCATGAATTGATGTGTGCTTTTTGTCCGTGCGAGAGCAAAGCTTGCCGTGGCACTCACGAGCAACGGACTGCAGAGAGACGCGATCCCCTAAAATTTGGGTCGGCTTCTTCCACGGCGTCCCTCATTGGCACATGTCCGTATACACGAGCTGGCTAGTACTCCATGCGGCAGCTTTTTTGAGACGAGGCAGCAGCCAGAGACGTGAACGCGCAGGGTTCTCCAGCGCCACTTGGCGCTGGAGCAAGTGCATCAACTCAAAAATACTGCAACAGAAACCGGCAAGATTATTACCAATTTGAATGGCTTGCACATCGACAGGATGGGTGACCTCAGGAAGCCCCATCAGATGCTGGTCAGATCGGAGCCGCGACGGGAGCATTGGTCCAGCTTGACCCAGCTCTCGCAGCGGCCCTGTGTCCCTGGCCCTCGTCCACGTCTGGCAAGGCGTCCCCATGAAGACTCCCCAGACCTGTCCGGCCAGGATCCAGCCTCTCACGAGCTTGTGGGCCTTCCGTGCTGAAAGGTCCCAGGCAGGCCCTCGGCAGATGTCCCACTCGAGCACGACGAAGCCCCTCTCGCGAAGTGACCGCGAGAGCCCGCCATGCCCGCTGAACAGCTCTAGAAAGACCTGCGGCTGGACCAGGCGGGCACCCCGGCTGGCCAAGGCGCGAGCGAAGGCCTCGCGAGGCAAATCGGCAGCTGCGCCGCCGCCTCGACTGCCCTCGCGCGGACGCCTGGGGGCAGCCGCTGCAGCTGCTCGCCCACGCGCCCCTCCTTCTGGTAGCGCCTCACGCTGGAGTCGCAGTGCCAGCGACCTCTCAGCTTGATCTCCTGCAGCGTCCGCAGCTGGCGCGCTCGATCGTGGCTGGGCCCGCTGTGTCTCAGCATATACAGCTCCGGGCCCAGAGCCTGGACCCCTGCGCGCCCGGCCGCCTCTCGAAACTGGACCACCAGGTCGGCGTGCCTGAATGCGAACAGCGGCTGCCTGGCCGGCGTCTCCCTCTTGAGGTAGGCGAGCACGGGCACGAGGAAGTGGAACAGCGGCAGATCGAACACCACGGTCTCGTCGAACTCCCTTGTCTTGCTGCTGATCTCCTCCTCGCTCGGGTGCAGCACGATCGCCCAGTTCGCCACGTGGGTCCCCGGCACAGGCGGCACGAGCATCTCGGCGGTAACCCGCTGCAGCTCGCTGGGGCGCAGGTAGCAGTGGAAGGTGATGATCGTCCAAGCCGCCATCGCCCAGAAGCCGGTCAGCAGCATCTCCAGCGCGATCAGCGCGACGACCTCCCAGGGCAGCGGCAGCCGCGCCCGCCCAGGGGCGAGCCGCTTCCAGCCCTTCAAGGCCTGCGCCGAGCGCGGAAGGGAGAGCCCTCCCGACCTTGCGAACTGCGGCCGGAAGTACTTCACCGCCGCTAGCCCCTTGGCGCCCCTCTGCGCCAGCTCCCCGAACGAGCACTCCTGGCCCATCCAGCTGGCGACCACGAAGTCTGTCTCGTCGTCGCCCGGCTCCGCCTGCAGGGAGCCCACCGGACGCAACCGCAGCCACATGCGGAGGATGTCCTGCCACAGACCGTCGTACTGGGCCACGGTCTTCGGAGTCACCGACGCCCGCTGCAGCAGCGACCCAGGGCCTCGGAGCGCCGCCCGACGAGCAGCCGCAGCAGCTCCCTGCCCGCGCCTCGCAGCTCGCGCCATCTTGCGGCTCCGGGCCGCGGGTGGTGGCGGCGTCCGCAGCTCCTGGCGCGACTGGGCCGCGACTGCACTCAGGTGCCGCCCCCTCCGCGGCTGGGGCCGCCCCGCCAGCGGATCGCCTCGCCGCAGGGCGTGCGGGCCGGCGGGCGCCCCGAAGAACGCCGACGGCAGGCTCGCGGACGGCCAGCTCGGCGAGCTCGAGGCCGGCGCTGCGGCAGTCGGCCTGCTGGCTGCTGCGCCCGGCGTCCCGGACGGCCCACTGCTCGATGCCCTCGGCAGAGTCCGCCGCGCCGTTGTCGAGCCAAACCCCGAGGGGGATGTGGCGGCGCGACGGCGCATCGGCGACGTTCCGTTCAGACGGAATCCAGCGCACCGAGGCCTGCACCGCACCCGCCAGGCACCAGGCGGACCATTGCCGGGCGACGCGGAGGACTCCCCCGGCTGAGGGGCGGCCCTTCTCCATAGCACACACGAGCCCCATGTTATCGCAAAGGAAGAGGATACGCTTACCGAAAGACTTCGAGTCGCGAAGTGCGCGCCTAAGAGAACGAACGAGTGCCCGACCTTCGAGGACGATGATCTTCTCGGACCGGGCCCACCCTCCGCTCGACACGACCTGCCACCTTCCCCCGTACAGTTTTTCCTCCACCTCCGGGACCTTCCACAAGTTACCCTCTGGATCCTCCACCGCCTCCTCCGGCGACACGACGTGCTCCGCCTCCGGCGACGCGACGAAATCGGCGATCGGCTCGACCTTCGCGGTGTCGGCGGTCGGCGGGTCGCTCTGCTCGAAGAGGCAGTCGCGAGGTCGCGAAGCAGTTGCCCGTCGAAATCGCCACCTCTCCCCGTACCTCCCAGCACCACGAATGGCTCCCAGGTCGGCCTCCTTCTGGCACACGCCCCTCCCCTCCTCGCTAGCGTCGCTCGCGTAGACCCTGGGAGACCAGGTGGCCCGGAGATCAGCCCATGCGAGGGGGATCAGGGAGGCGGCCCAACGAAGCTCACGGCGGACAGACGGCGGCAGCTTCATCACCCGATCGAAGTACTTCCTCGAGAAGGCATACACGGAACTAAATACGGCCAAGAGCGGGCGCCTCGACATAGCAATGAACGCGAAGTGCCCAGCAATCTTCCCTACTTGTCGTCCCGAAGCGTGCCCACGAGCAAGCAAACCCTGGATCCCAAGACGAAGCCTCCAAGCACGACGACTCTTCGGCCTCACAGCTCCCCGCTCACCGTCGAAGACCCAACCCAGCTGCTCAGACACAGAGGCGGGAAGATCAGGATCGTGAAGAGGGAGCCCCGCGCTGCTCAAGGCCTCTTGGGCCGACCTCAGGAGGGCCGCAGGCCTGTCAGGATCCACACCAAAGGAAATGAAATTGTCAACATAGGCTGTGTAGGCCCCGTCCTGGATGGGAGGCGCTGGCATACCATCGACCACTTCGGGAACGTTCTCGAAACCCCCCTTCTGGAGTAAGATATTTCTGTGCACTTTCTGGCAAAAGTCCAGCGCATGCGTCCAGCCCATGGGCAAGACGGCCAAGCACGGGCGCACCCAAGCGCGGCCTGGAACTGGGCGCCCGCCCAGCTCACGCACCCCGAGCTGCGCTGCCCGAAGCCGCGGGAGCGCGAAGAGGTGCCGGAGCTCCGGCGGCAGGCCCATGTTGTAGAAGGCGTCCGCTATGTCGACTCCCGCCGTCCACAGCACCTCGCCCGGCGCCAGCTCGATGGAGCTGAAGCTGCCCCCCGACGCCAGGCTGGTCTTGTCGGGCTCCGCGAACCGGAAGTTGCTGCCCCTGCAATCAATCACCAGGCGCTGGCGACCATCCTTCTTCCAAACGGTGAATAGACCGACTTCCTCAAAATTGCCCTCATCGACCCTGAACTCCAGCATGCCACCGTCCCTCATCCTCTCGACGAAGGACAGGTAGGCCGCGGGCTGCCGCAGCACTGGATCCAGGTAAGGGCGCGCGAAGCCAGCCTCCTTCTTAAAAATCTCGGCGCTTTGAATTGGCAAAACCTTCGAAGTGATGAACCTTCGCACGATGTCTGGACCGTCGGCTCCCAACAGCTGGCTCGGGGGCACAGGCGTACCGCCCACAGCTGGCAGAGACACGAGGTCGTGCGCGAAGGGGGCCACCGTGACGGGCTCGCCGTCGGAGTAGCCAGCGCCAACCTGGAGCTCCTGGAGGGCCACCTCGGTCGACAAGTCTGGAGGAATGGAGCCCATCGCCGCACAGCTGTCGGCGAGATGCTCCAGGCAAAGTTGCTGCATCCTGTTGGGCTCCTGGCCAGCACGGCGCGGCGGGTCATCAGAGCCGGCATCCAGCTGGTTGAGCGCCACAACGAGCTCGGTCACGAGCTCCCCCTGCAGCGTCCTGTTGGCGCGGCGACGCCGCGCTGCGCGACCGCCGCTGCCGCCGGGGGCAGCCTGCGCGCGACACCAGTCAGGGACTGGCAAGGGCAGGAGCGACCGCTGCATGCGGTCGTCACCTCCGCCCACCACCTCTTCTGCATCACCCCCGGGTCGAGGCAGTCCCGGGGGCGGGCCCAGCATCATGACTTCGGGGGAGGAGCGTCCCGGCCGCCCTTGTTGGCCTTCTGCTCCTCCCTCAGTTTCCTCGCGTTCTTCTTGACGCTGTGGATCCGCTCCAGCTCCTTCGACACCGAGTCGAGCAGCTCGGGGCACACCATCGAGGGAGACCTCGAGCCTCCCATGAACGCGAAGGCCTCCTCCAGGGGCATCCGCATGTTGTGCTGCTGCTGCTCCGCGCTCCTGTCGTCCCAGTAGTGCTCGATGAGCTGGAGCTTCCTGTAGCCGAGCTCCGCGCTCGCCAAGTTGTAGACATCCAGGTGATCGGCCGAGCCCATGGCCTCGATCATCTTGGACAGTGTCTCGTGCATGTCCACCCCGAAATCGGTCGGGTTCAGCTTCCGCTTTGACTTCCACATCTCATGATGGAGGACCGGGCCCCCCTCCTTCACCTGGTACTTGGCGCACCACTGCGCCGTCCTCGGCGGGGCGACGGCGAACCCCGGGACGGCCTCCTCACGGCACAGCTGCACCACCTCGCGCCACTCCCGAGAGCTGCCGCCTGGCTGCCCGGCTCCCGGCGGGATCTCGAGCGTGCGCGCGTCGCTCCCGCGGTACTCCTGCGTGAACCACGAGATCTCGCTGTCCTGCAGCAGCACCGCACTGGCTCCGGCGCCGCCGGCGAGCGTGAGAAGCCCGCGGCGCCCAGCACGTCCCACGAGGGTCGCTCCGCCCGGCACCCCGACGGCCACCTTCGTGCCGAACGACACGGCGCCGTCGACGTCCTCGGCGGCCACCCAGTGCCAGCCTGGCGCGGGCTCCCCGCTCGGCTGCGGCGCGACCGCCACGGTGTCTGGCACCGCCGGCGCCCGACCCGCTGGCGCAGCGGCCGCCCCGGGGGCGGGGGCCACGGCGGCTGGGGCCGCGGCTGCCGGCGCCGGCGCGGCCGCGGCCGCCGGTGGGGCTGGCGGGGCCGCCCCAGGAAGCGCCAGCTCGCCCGGGGCCGCTGGCGCGGGGCACGCTCCGGCCAAGCCGACCAGCGGGGGGCCCACGATCGACGGGCCCGCCAGCGGTATGCTGCCCGCCGGCGCGCCTGCACAGTTCACCGCGGACAGCGTGAGGAGGAAAGGCCCGTCGGGCAGCGGCCCGTACCCCAGCGCTGCCCCGCGGCGGAGGGCGCTCCAGATCTCGGCCGCCGTGGGCAGGCGGCGAAACCTGTAGACCCGGTTCTCCGGGATGCCGCCAGCCCTGCCGCCCTGCCCGTGCACGAACTGGATCTCCATCACATCCGCGTCTGGATTCGTGGTCTCGCCGTAATCGTCGAAATCCGGGGTCATCACGTACCCCGAACGAAATATGTCCAGTCGCTCATGGTACAGAGCGGGGCCTCCCACTCGATACCTGGTCAGGTGGAATCCTCCAGCCAGCGGCCCAGCAGCCATCCTCAATAGGCGGCGGCAACCGGCGACCTGCGGAAGGCCTTCGCCTGCTCCAGCGCGAGGTGCGCGAGGTCGCCACCCGCCGGCGAGCTGTCCACCTCCACGGGCGCCGCGACGGGCCCCGCAAGCGCCCTCGGGCGAGGCCGCCCGGCCCACGAGACGGCCGCGGCCCCGAGCACGGCGCCCAGCAGGAGCGAGAGGCCAGCCACCCAGGCCAGCTGGGCCCCGGGGCACCCCGGGGTGGCGGCGGCCGCCAGGGTGCCCTCGCCGCTGGGGCACGTGCACTGCAGCGCTGGGCAGTGCAAGGCCGGACTGCACCGGCAGTCCGGGCAGTCGGCCACCGAGGCCCGGACGACGAAGGCGGTGGTCAGCGCCTGCCCCACGTCGTGGAGCAGCCTCACCAGCCCGGCCTCCATCCCCCGGCAAGGTCTCAGCGCAAACAAAGAGACCTCAAATGGCCATGGAATGGCAAAGGAATGGTGCACTGATCCATGGCCCTGAAATGCGGCCTCTCCTGCTGTGGCGTCTGGCAATCATCAACGAAGTAGTGGGCAGGAGGAGGAGGAGGAGGAGGAGGAGGATGGGGAAACGGAGGAGGAGGATCACGAGGAGGAGGAGGAGGAGGAGGAAGAGGATGATGATGATGCTGATGATGATGATGATGATGATGATGATGAGGAGGAGGAGGAGGAGGAGGAGGAGGGAAAAATGGAGGAGGAAGAGAAAAACGAGGAGGAGGAGGAGGAAGAGGAGGAACGGAACGGAAGGACCCGCGGGGGAGTACGATGATGATGATGGTGGTGATGATGATGATGCTGATGATGATGATGATGATGATGATGATGCTGCTGCTGCTGCTGCTGCTGCTGCTGATGATGATGATGATGATGATGATGATGATGATGATGATGATGATGATGATGATGATGATGACGATGATGACGAGAGGATGAGGAGGACGAGGAAGAGGAGGAGGCAAAAGGAAGAAGAGGAGGAGGGAGAGGGGCGGGAATAAATGGAGGCGAAAGGGAGGGCGATGGCTCCGGGAGCTGGGCGGCCAAAGGGGGGAAGGGGGGGGGGCTTCAAGCCCCCCCCCCCTTTTGCACCAAGGGAGGGAGGGGGGGGGGGCTTCCAAAGCCCCCCCCCCTTTCAAAGGGGGGGGTGGCTCACCCCAGCTCCATTAAAAGGAGGGAGGGGGGGGGGTAGCTTGGAAGCCCCCCCCCCCTTTCCGGCCACGAAAAGGGAGGGGGGGGGGGGAAGCTTCCGAAGCCCCCCCCCCCCTTTCAAAGGGGGGGGGGGGCCTCACCCCGGCTCAATTAAAGGGCGAGGGGGGGGGGCTTGGAAGCCCCCCCCCCCCTTTTTGCGGACCACGAAAAGGGGGGGGAGGGGGGGGGGGAGCTTCCGAAGCCCCCCCCCCTTTAGCAAGGAAGGGGGGAGGGGGGTAGCTTCAAGCTGGGGCCCCCCTTTTAGTCTATCGGGCCCCATGCGCGCGCTCTATCACAGGTTTTATGGTGCCTTCCGCGTGGCTGGCGGGCTGCGCCGAAGGCCCCTGAAACCTCTTGGAAGGTCTCAGAATAGTAAAGCATCCAGCACACCAGCAACCCCTGTGGACAGACCATCGGGGGCCATCAATGTCTCCTTCGGCCATCGAATGCAACTTGATCTCCAAATGAGCGACGAGAAGAAACGGATCTCACGCGAGATGACATAGCGACCTTGCTCCGCGGCTTACGCGGGCCGCCAGCGCGGCACGCTGCAATGGAAACGAGGGCGCTGACGCGCAGCCTTACGTGGGCAGCTTACGCGCCAATGTCGGCGCAGAGGACCCCGTTGTTCTTGCGTCGCTCAACTGACGCAGACATGTCAGACATACCTCGCCGGCTGAGCGCTGGCCGCCCAGCTCCTGTGCCAGAGCACGCTTGCCTTTAACCCAGGGGGAGGGTGCGACCTCCGGGTCTGGCGGCCGCGGGCTGTCGTGCGCGGATCAGGCCCACAAAAGGTGGCGGATCGAAGACGCCTGCGGAGAATCACCCCCACCACCTGCCTTTCAGGATGCGCCTATGTGGCCAGACGTTTGGGCAAAGTTTGGCCACGCTATCGGACCATACGTTTCCCGAGCCTCTGTGGGAGCCCTTCCGGGGAACACGTGGGGGAGGAAGTGGAGGATGAGGAGGGGGAGAAAAAAGGAGTAAAGAGAAGGATGAGAAGACCTCTTGGGAGCTTCTCGGGTCATTCGTAGGGCCTCCTGGGAGCTTCCTGGGGGCCTCTTGGAGGCCTCTTAGGGGCCGATGAAAATCAATTATTTGATGATTTTCGGGCCTTCTTGGAGGACCTCTTGGAGGCCTCTTCGGCCATGTTGGATCCCTCTTGGGGGTCTCAGGCCATCTTCAGGCCATCTTGGACCGTCTTGGGTGCATCTTGGGGCCACGTTGGGCTCTCTTGGGGCCATCTTGGCCGTCTTGGAAAAAGATTGAAGGCACCTTGGGGCCATGTTTGCCCTCTTGGACGCCATTTTGAGCCGTCTTGGGAGATCTGATGCAGACGTTGAGGTTGTTTCCGGTCCACTCCGGGTGGCCGGCGCAATGGACCGAAGCCGCAGGGGGAGCTCTTACAAAGAATCAAAATCCATCAGACATTCAGCACGCCGGGAACCCCTTGTGACAAATCAACAGGGGGCGGCGGAACTAGTACGCCTACGGCGAGTTACCGCCGCCCCCTGCCTTTTTGGAAGCGCCTATGTGGCCGAACGTTGAGGCCAGACCTGCCAGGCTATCGGACCATGTGTTCCCCGAATCGGTTTGGAAAGTCTTCGGGGAACACGTGGGCATCTTGAAGGTCATCTTGGCCGTCTGGAGGCCATTTTGACCCTTTCGGGCCTTCTTGGAGGAAGTCTTGGAGGGCTCTTGGGCCGTCTTGGAGGCCATCTTGAGCGTCTTGGAGACCTCTTGGGCCGTCTTGGGGGCCTCTTGGGGCCGTGTCTTGGGCCTCTTGGGCGATCTTTGGGGGCATTTGGGCCGTCTCGGGCCGTCGGAAGGCAGAAAAAAAGCAAATGCCACAATCCTCCAAAAACCCATGGGAAATCAATGGTTTTGGCCTTTTCGGGCCTTCCTGAAGACCCTCTTGGAGGCCTGTTGGGCCGTCTTGGGCCATCTTAGGGTCATGTTCGGCCGTCTTGGTGGGCTCCTGGTCCGTCTGACGCCGTCGGAAGCCGTTTGGGCGGCCTCTATGGGCCGACTTGGGGCCCTCTTGGAATGCTGCCGTCTTGGGGGCCCCTTGGGGCCGTCTTGGGGCCCTCTTGGGCCGTTCTGGTGCCATCTTGGAGGCCTCTTGGGCGATCTTTCGACGATCTTTGGGGGCTCTTGGGCCGTCTCGGGCCATCGGAAGGCCTGAAAGAAGCAAATGTCAAAATCCGTTTTAAAAAAAAAAAAAAAAAAAAAAAAAAAAAAAAAAAAAAAAAAAAAAAAAAAAAAAAAAAAACTTCGGATAATCAATGTTGTATGGCCTCTTATGGCCTTCCTGGAGGCCCTCTTGGGGGCCTCTTGGGCAGTCTTGGGCCAGCTTCGAGCCAACTTCGGCCATCTTGGTGGGTTCCTGACACGTCTGACGCCGTCGGGAGCCGTCTTGGGGGCCTTTCTGGGCCGACTTGGGGCCCTCTTGGGGCGCTTCGCGGCCGTCTTGGAGGCCATCTTGGGCGTCTTGGAGACAATCTTGGGCGTGTTGGAGGCCTCTTTGGCCGTCTTGGGGCCCTCTTGGGGCCGTCTTGGAGGCCACTTGGGCTGTCATGGGGCCCTCTTGGGGGCCTCTTGGGCGATCTTGGGGGCCTCTTGGGCCGTCTTGAGCCGTCGGAATGCCGAGAAGGAGCAAATTCCAAAATCCTTCAAAAAACTATGGAAAATCAATGATTTTGGCCTCTTCGGTCCCTCCTGGAAGACCTCTTGGAGGCCTCTTGGGCCGTCTTGGAGGCCTCTGGGGGGCCTCTTGGGCCGTCTTGGGCCGTCTTGGACTCTCTTGGGCCGTCTTGGAGGCCGTCTTGGACCATCTTGGGCGGACTTCGAGGCCATCTTGGACCATCTTGGAGGCCATCTTGGGCCAACGTGGCCATCTTGGAGGCCATCTTGAACCATCTTGGAGGGTTTTCTTCCGGATTGAGCTCCTTGAGATCCTTTCAGGGTGGCCGGCGGGACGGGCCGAAGCCCCAGGGGGAAGTTTCTTGGGGAAGAAGAATCAAAACCAGAAGCCATATCTTTTGGCAAGCCAGGCACCTCTGCGATGAATCGACAGGGGGCGGCGGATCTAGTGGCCTTCGGCCAGTCCCGCCACCGGGCCCGGGTTGTAAAGTGGGCGGAAACAATTAGTGAACGCCCCTCGCCCCCCCGGAATTCAAAGTTGGCGCGTCTGGGGCCGACCGCGGCGAAGTGCAAATCAGATCCCCTGCCAACATCAATCATGGGGAAGGGGGGAATGTGATGCGGCACCAGTGTTCGCTATTTATTTCCGATGCCTGTAGATCAGAGGCCTCATGGATGTCTGTGGGCATCTCCTGGGAGGCCTTTCGGAAGCCTCGTTGAGGCGATGCTGGTGTGTCTCGGGGGCCTCTTGGGGACCTCTTGGAGCCTGATCTGGGCCTCACGGGGGTCGCTTGGAGCTTCTTTGGGGCCCGAAACATGTCTGATGTTGGCTTCTTGAAGTCCTCTTGGAGAGCCTCTTGGAGCTCTCTTGGGGCGTTTGGGGGTCCGAGGTTTCGCCGTACTGCCGCCCGTAGCCCTCCCAAAGGACTCTGCAAAGCACAAATGACGCTTCCCCGTCGATCACTTTCCATACAAAATTATACCACCCCAGGCAACCGGTGATTGACCACCCTTTCCATCCTTGCCAAGTAATTCAATGTCGGGGCACTCGCTCATCTCGAAGCATCATTATGCAATAATCACTTTGCCAACAAACTACCACCAATTCCACGCGCGCACATGTCGAAATCATACGGACACACACTAGTTACGCGAGCATCTCGGCACACGCGAATCAAACATGTGACCACAAGTCTTGCATATTGTCTGTCCACGCGGATGTGCTGAACTCTGAGAAACCAATATGGTTGTCTTGTGGCCAGGGCCTTCTAGGGGGCCTCTTGGACAATCTTGGGGCGATATGTGGAGCATCTTGGGCCGTCGCCGTGTTGGAGCGTTGGAAGCCCGAAAAGGCAAAAACGCAAAAAGCATTCAAACTCTTATGGAACATGTATAATGTTGGCCTCTTGGGGTCCTCTTGGAGAGCCTCTTGGAGCTCTCTTGGGGCGTTTGGGGGTCCGAGGTTTCGCCGTACTGCCGCCCGTAAGCCCCCCCAAAGGACTCTGCAAATCACAAATGACGCTTCCCCGGCGATCACTTTCCATACAAAGTCATACCACCCCAGGCGACCGGTGATTGACCACCCTTTCCATCCTTGCCAAGTAATTCAATGTCGGGGCACTCGCTCATCTCGAAGCATCATTATGCAAGCATCACTTTGCCAACACATTACCACCAATTCCACGCGCAAGCGCACATGTCGAAATCATACGAACATACACTAGTTGAGCGAGCATTTCAGCACACGCGAATCAAACATGTGACCACAAGTCTTGTTTGTTTGTCCACGCGGATGTGCTGAACTCTGAGAAACCAATATGGTTGTCTTGTGGCCAGGGCCGTCTAGGGGGCCTCTTGGACAATCTTGGGGCGATATGTGGAGCATCGTGGGTCGTCGCCGTATTGGAGTGTTGGAAGCCCGAAAAGGCAAAAACGCAAAAAGCATTCAAACTCTTATGGAACATGTATAATGTTGGCCTCTTGGGGTCCTCTTGGAGGGCCTCTTGGAGCTCTCTTGGGGCGTTTGGGGGTCCGAGGTTTCGCCGTACTGCCGCCCCTAAACCCCCCCCAAAGGACTCTGCAAATCACAAATGACGCTTCCCCGTCGATCACTTTCCATACAAAGTCATACCACCCCAGGCAACCGGTGATTGACCACCCTTTCCATCCTTGCCAATTAATTCAATGTCGGGACACTCGCTCATCTCGAAGCATCCTTATGCAAGAACCACTTTGCCAACAAACTACCACCAATTCCACGCGCGCACATGTCGAAATCATACGGACACATACTAGTTACGCGAGCATTTCAGCACACGCGAATCAAACGTGTGACCACAAGTCTTGCATAGTTTCTGTCCGTGCGGATGTTCTGAACCCTGAGAAACCGATATGTTTTCAGCAAGCTCGTCCGAAACCCGCATTCTCATCCCACCACGCGGTGCATCTGTCTTGATTCAGCACGCGCCATATGCACGAAATCTTACCCAGTTTCACCACTCGGGCCACACGCGCGCGCCGCCACGCGCGCGTCGAAACCTGATTAAAAAACCAATGGTTTCCGAAACCTCTCTGAATGGAGTTCTCACACATCTACCCGAAGGTCAGCAGCCGTTCAACAAAAGTGTTACCAAATGTCCGTAATTTCTGCGCGCGCACGTCCCCACCATCACCCTCACCAGCAACACCGTATCACCACAGTCATCGTCATCACCAAGCGCCGCCATCGCCACAATCACAAACACAATCAGCTTCATCACCGACACATGGACGTCCTCATCGACGTCGTCACCAGCATCGGCACCGTCATTGGCTTTGCCATCCTCATCGTCATCATCGCCGCAACCATCGTTTTTATCATCATCTTTCCCGCCATTGTCGACGTCACCATGATACCGCGTCCGCCCAACTCACCGACCCGCATTGGAACGTCCGCGCGACAGTGCGGTCTTTGAGACGCGCACCGGTAAGCATCATCGCGGCCGCATCATCTGTGCCAAATCAGCTGGTCGCACTGCGCCCGGGCGTGCGCGCGCCAGCGCAGCCACAGAGATGCGCTAGCAACTGCCAATCGGCAACTGCCATCGTGGCAGCATGGGTTTTGCCAAGCAGGGTGCGGGTTGAAAAATGGGACGATGGCACGAACGGTGGTATTGACGACTCGTGACTTGACCAAAAATATTGCACCACTTAACTTGCATCTCGTGGTTCGTACACGTACCGCGTGGGGCACACCACATAGCTTACACCACATAGTTCACATACCATACAACATACATTGGTCCACAAACCTTGTACCATCTAGCTCACACCACATTGATCATCCTTTCCAACAAAAAACCAACAAAAACAGATTCCACCGCCACTTCCCCATCCCCCCACCCCCCAGGGGTTATCCCCCCACCTCCCTCCATTCCGTATTGCAGCGTACGTAGGATTAGGCCTCATCGCACACTTTGAATATGAAACCATACCATGCCAGCCAACATGGCATCGCCTCAACTTCCCTCCCCCTCATCCATGCCAGAAATTACCAAGCGCATGTGTTCCAAGAATTCTTCTTTTTTCGCAGCTAACGCCCACCACTCTCCGCCCCAGCTCCGAAACCGTATTCAATCCGTTTCCCCTCAAGGGGGCTATCACAACTCAAACCGTACGGCAGCGAAGCTCTATAGCGGCAGAAATCGGGAGTGACAAATGGCAAGTAAAGGAAAATGAGCACAAGAATTCGTATGTCCTCCATAGAGGTATCCAGGCAACACCACGGAAGCACCACCACCAAAACAGAGGTGAAACGCGACAGCATCGACACTGGGCCATGCGCAGGAATCCCCCGTTCCAAATAACCAATGACAGCCACAGGGGTAGAAAGATGGGAGGACGAGGGGGGAGGACGATGAGGAGAGGAGGGGAACAACGGCCTACGCGCACCTAGCGACACAAGGAGTGCTCAGCGTGGGCACCGGCACAACCAGCACCTACATAGTGACACCGAAGCCCGGGGGAGGGAGGAGGGAGGGAGGAGAGAGGGAAGAACAAAGGGCCGAGGTTGAAGAGGAATGGATGTGTAAAGATGCGAGCGCCATCCCAAGCAGGCACTCTGCACATGAGACCCGCACTGAACGAGACGAGGCGGTGGACTGGGCAATAATGCACTCCAGCGGTTGGATTTATCAACGCCGTGCGGGCGCCACTGTCAAACGCGGGAGCGCGAGTCAAGGGCGGATCCCGAGAGGGGAGTGGCTCCATGCCCCAGGCACCCGGTAGCCTGGCAATACGCCCTGGCCGTGCAAACGGCACGCAAACGCCAATTACACGCCGGGGTGCCCATGCACCCTTGGCCTCCCCGAGAAACAAACGCGAAGGAGGGAGACGAAAAGGACGCGAGAGCGAGAGAGAGAGAGAGAGAGAAAAAAAAAAAAAAAAAAAAAAAAAAACTGTCAAAATGGGCAGGCAAACCCAAAATGTCTGGCCCCAGACGGCGATACGAATGTACTGCAAGTTCGTAGCGGCCCGCAGGCGGAAACGACTGCACGGCAAAGCGACGGTGGAGAAAGGACTACAAAGAAGGGAGGAAAGGCAAGGACTTGATTCGCAAGCAAACTCCACTCTGGACTGCTGGCCAGCCTTTCCTACGGCATGAGACTGCCGTGCAGCCACCCGCAATGGCCCTACTGCTACCACCGTGCAGCCGCCGCGACTCTCTCATGCGCCACCCCCGCGGGGGGGCCGGAAGCCCAAAGGGAAGCAGGGGACCGCCGAGACGACACCGACGGGAGAGGAAAGGAGCGAGGCAAGGGCACGAGGAGGGACAAGAGAGGCAGAGGGGAGACGACAGCAGGAGCGGCGGAAGGGCAGGAGGAGGGGCCAGAGGACCAGGAGCAGCCGAAGAAGGACACGGACAAGGACGACACCAGGAGAGGCATGTGTTCCAGGAATTCTATGCCGATACAGCACAGACTCCACGCGCGCGAACACATGTCGAGCTCATAACAAACGCAATGGGACTGCCAGTCTGTCCCCGTACAAACACCAAATCCCTGAAGCGCTTCACTACGACTCACGCAAAGCCTGCCCGCGCGCATTTGACGAAATCAACTGACAAGAGAACCACATGGCTTGCAGTCTCGTCCACAACCCGAGTTTTCATCGCACCACGCGATGCGTCCACATTCATCAAGCAAGCGTCCCGCTCGCGAGCCCAAATAAATCAACAAAACACACACACACACACACACACACACACACACACACGCACACACACACACGCACACACACACAAAAACAGATGTGTGTGCTGCTTGCGTTTAGAAAGCTACCCCGGCAATTCCGAACTCCATCATCAGCTGTGACACTTTCGACTTCAGATTTTCTCATTTCAAATATCCCACGTACAGTATCTGAAATAAGAATCGCATCTTGTCTCGGCGCTTTGTATCCCGTGAACGCGTTACCAAGCTCACGACACATATCCATGTGATTACTGCGTGTCTGGTAAGATTGGATCGAACGCATCGCTACGACAACCTCAGCACGGCACCATAACAAACAAGCTCGTACGTCGTGGCCCGAGCAAAACAAACTGTCGTCAAAAATGCTCCTGGAAGGGACCAAATCCCGCGCCGTCGCAACATCGCACGCGCCACCCTTAATGCTTCGGTTGTCATAAACTTCAACTGAGCATGGCGGCGACCGCCTCTCGCCCGCATCCGCGATTCTGCTCTGGCATGGAAAATCGTCATCCTGGGTTTGTCTCTGGGCCTGGATGACAACAGCTCGGTGGCTTACCATCCATGATGACGTTCACGCTGCTGAATGTGCTGTTCGATCAATCTGAATGCATTGCGCAAAGGGGATTGGCGATACGCCGCTGACCATGTTTCCACATTGCGCAACTGACTTGAAAGGCCGTGAACAAAGCTGCCATTGGGCGGACATGCCAGATAAGGTGATAAGAGCTGTTGGGAAATCTTGTACCGATAAGAGATCGGCACGTCGCATGGATCGTACCAAAAACCCAGCGCATCCTTCAAGTACTCCGTCAGGAGACTTCGCGGCGTCGGAAAGTGTGATCAAAGTTTGCCGCGTTTTACCTGGAATCTGTCGGCTGTCTCGTATCCTTTTTCGATTCCGTACAGAAGATTCACGAGTCGCTGCAAATGGTTTCCAAGTCGGCCAAATTCGGATCACTCGTTTCCGCGTGGTCAAATCCAAATTCCGCTATCACAAAAATACCTTTGAGACCTGCGACTCCACGCGCATAGCTGGACACATCAACATTGGCACACCCACACAAAACGAGATGGACAAACACATGAATGTGACCATGCTGTGTCCCGACATACCGTCTAGCACCCCACGCGCTGAAATTGAGCCAGACTTGGAACAAAATGGCTACGGAACTCCAGGATACAACTCTGAAAGAATGTGAAAGTTTGCTCCCCAATACTAGGTATGCCAGATATCTTAAACTTCTGCGCGCGTAGGTCCTTACCACCACCCTCACGAGGGCCATCGCACCACCGCCGTCATCGTCACCGCCAAGCACCGCCATCGCCGCCATCACCAACCGATCACCTTCACCACCAAAACATGGGCATCATCATCGTCATCGTCGTCACAAGAATCGGCGCCGTCATTGCCCTTACTGTCGTAGTCGTCCTCGTCGCCACCAGCATGGTTTCTATCATCATCGTTGCCGCTGTTATCGCCATCATCATGATACCGATCACGACCGACTCACCAACCCGCGCTGAAGTGCCCGCGCGCCAGCACGGCCTTGGAGGCGCGCTGGGAAGTTCCCATCGGCAGGCGCCATCGTGGCCGCATCAGTTGTGCCAAACCAGCTGGTGACCATGCGCGCGAGCGTTCGCGCGCCAGCGCGGCCGCAAAAATGCGCCAGCCAACAACAAAGATATCCGCAAATGCGGCCGGCCGGATGTATCAAATCAAGTTGCGGGTGGGAGGATGGGATGATTGCGACAGCAGTGGAGTTGACATTCCACTGGTGAACACATATCATCTGCACTGCATATAATGCACCACTTCTATCGCTTCACATCGCTTACACCACAGACCCCACACCACATGTCTTGCGCCACCTGCATTGTACCATGTAGCTTACACCCCGTGGCCCATACCACATATTGCACCGCCTAGCTTACACCGCGAAACTCACCCCACATTAATTGAACCAGCTGCACTGTGCCGCATATCTTACACATCACAGCTCACGCCACGTGGATCACGCCTCATAAAGATCACACTGCGTATCTCGCACGTCTACGAAGCAACATCTCACTTGTTGGGGTCCACATGAGCAAGCATGTGTAACAAATAATGGAGGTGATCGCGAAAAGGAATCCGCTACTCAAAGCCTGGAATGTAAACAAATGCAGCACTGCACGGATCTAGGGCGGCTCTTTTTCATACTGATGTTCTCGCTTGGAGCGTCCTTGAAAATCATGAGAAAAACTCTAATGGTGTGCAACAGTTGTACGGATAGGAGGGCAGTCCTTCTTCAGAAGGGGATTACCACTCGACACCTCGCTGAGGCACATGATCATAATTCCCGCGTTCCTGGCTACACGCCAGAGGGATCCAAGACATGTTTGTTTCAAAGCGGGGCTCGCAAAAATGACAGGCCCAACTGCGCTAGTCGTTCAATGGGGGCGTGCCTTGTAGTGAAAACGGGCGCGTGTAGGGAAGCATCAGGAGGGGATTTGGGACGGGAGCGTGAATTGCAGAATCGCTGATGCATCTTGGGCTTACCTTGGTCAACCTCCTCCTCCTCCTCCTCCTCCTCCTGCTCCTCCTCATCATCATCAGCAGCATCATAATCATCATACTTTTCCTCCTCCCTCCTTGCTCTTACTTCCCCAACTGATCCCCAAAAGATTTCCACAACGGCTGAGGGAACACGTAGTCCAACAGATCTGCAAGACTTCGGCCCAGCGTTTGGTCCCATCGGCGTTTCCAGAAAGGCAGGGAACGGCGGTGGTTCGCCGTAGGCGTCCACGATATGAGAGGTCTGGTTGCTCTGGTCGGAACAGACCGCGGTTCGCCGAAGCGGGTTGCAAATCCACGTTTACAGGACGCACGATGAAGAAACATAACATGCTGCATCTCGCATGATCGCATCGTGCCTGGGCTTGGCGGCGTAATCGCCGAGGAGAGTAAGAGGTTGGGGACGCTCGGCGGGAAGGACCGTGGTCTACACAAGTTGGCCGATGTCGCAAAGTGTCCATGTGTCTGAGCTGTTTGTCGCACTCGCTGGACACATGGCACGACTCACCAGCCAAACTGGCGCATTCGCATGGTCGCGGAAACACGCGCGCGATTCGGAGACACGGGCGAACACTCCGAGCTGATCGCCATGCAGGACCGCCGAGGACAGGCGCCAGTGCATTCATTCCCGCGCACTGCCGCTGCACCAAATTCGAAAAGGTGACTGCGTGCAACCCCGGGCCACGCACGGGAACCCACGATCAGGCGGCGAGCCCGAGGGGGCAAGCGAGAGGGGGCAGGCCTTCTCAAATGCGGCGGGCTTTCTCTGAAGAACTCGCGCATTCTGTGAAGATGTCTGCGTCTTCGGGGAAAGCTCAGAAAACTTCTCAGAAGGCCCGAAGCCTTCCGAGCCTTCTGAGAAGACCCGCCCCCTCTCACTTCCTCCCTGGGCTCGCCGCAGCAGAATGAATGGAGCGGGGGGGCCAAAGCCGTCGCACAAGCTCGAAGCCGGCACGCCGCTAGCCTCCGAGCACTGGACGGACCCCTGCAGTCAGCGCGCCGTGCGGCAGCAAAACTCACGCGCGCCCGCGAATGGAACACGCGGCACCCTTGCAACGTGCAGTCCAACGTAATGCCCTGCGGTCGGGTCGCGACGAGTGAGCTGCTCGCGGGCGACACGGGCAAGGAGGCTGGACAAGGAGACTGGGCGGCATCGGCAGTGGGAAAACGAGATGGAGGCGGGAGTGGCCGGGAGCGCCCGCCTCGGGAGCTACGACGAAAGCCACACGATGATAGCGCCGTTTGTGCACTTGGCAACGGCATCCGCACGAGTCGCCTTAGCTGCGGCCAGCATTTCGTCAACGTGTCCGTTGCGGTCACGGGGAGAGGGGGGAGAGGGTCATTGCTGTCACTGAATGTGCGCCCAGAGCTGGCTGGTGCATCGTCTGATAGTTGGATCGCAGCAGCAAGGGGCACAGGCGCCTCGGTCAAGATGACGCGAGCGGGAACTGGGGTTCAGGATGGCATTGGCGGCAAGCTGGCCGATGCGATGCGGCGGCAAGGAGGACATTCGCCGTGCAGTGCCCAGTGGGCACGGCGACGGGGAGCGCCACAACCAAGCGCGACGCAATCGTGCCCGCGCCGCCTGCGCCCGTGGGGCAAGCAGAAGGCCACAGAGCCAGCACTGGTCAGAAAATGGCAACCCGGGCACAGCATTCCGCGAAATGGCGAGCCTCCGCGGCGGCTGCACTGCGAGATTCGCGCGCACGGACGCCCCGAACGATGCACCTGGTGCGGCCCCGAAGAGTATACACCACCACCAAGTCGATCCCTCCTCCCTCCTCTAACCTCTTCTTCCTCGCGTCTTTCCTGGGAGATGGAGGGGGTGAGGGAGGTGGTGCTGGTGAAGATGTGTGGGCCCCGAACCTGGGCCGCACACCTTCGCGCGTCGCCCCACGACGCGCGAAGCGCGCCCTCGCGCTCGCGCGCCGCCCGCCTGGAGAAGGGCAGCTCTCCGCGGTGCGCGCAGCGCGATGACCTTCGCGCCCCCAGGGGGGAGAGGGGAAGGCCTGGCGTACCCTTTGACTACCATGAGGTCGGGCATGTCCTCGTACAGGCGAATATTGGCAGAATAATGAACAGTTGTCAAAACATACCAATATTAGTCAAAAAGTTGCGGAACATCGTCCCCAGACTAATTTTTACTAGTATTATCTTGGAAAACTCCTCCTGTGAAGGGACATGCCCGACTTAAGACTACCCACCAAGCCACCCCAACCCAACCCGAAGTCGCCGTTGGGCCTGCCACAATTTTTTTTGACTGGGGGGGCGTTCTGGAACATCGAGAGAACACCCCCCAGCCCGAAATTGGAGGGGGTCTGGGTCCTTCGGGTTGGGTTGGAGCGGTTTGGTAAGTGGTGCCCCTTCGAGCCGCCCAACGACGAGGCGGTGGAGATCAGCTCCCCGCGCGCCAGCCGGCCGCGGGCGCAGCTCGGCCGCGCCGCCTCGCGCTGCGGAGGCGGCAGACCGCGGCACACCTCACCACGGGCGGGCGACGACGCGAGCCGTGCGGCGGCGCGGACGCCCTGGGACCCCAAGGGGCCGCCTCTGGGAACGAGAGGCGCCGCGCGCAACAACACCACGAGCGGCGAACGCATCCATGGTCCACGCCCTCGCGGCCTGGATTCCGGAGCGCGACCGCGTGGATACGCGCCTGATCCCGTGGATGCGCGCTTGCACGGGTACGTTCCGCGTGGGGCAGCCGCGAAAAGGCGCCCTGCATCCGTGGGGTCGCGGCCCAAGGGCCGGGCCCGCGAGTCCGTAGATACGGATACATGTGTATATTTACAGAATGTGAATATGTATATGTAAACGTGTGTGTATATGTATATATGTATGTATGTAGATGTATGTGTATGCACGTTGATGTGAATATATGAAGTATATACATACATACACGCATACACACATGCATATAGACATGCATGCATGCATGCATACTACATGCATACATACATACACACGTGCATGCACACATACCTTCCTATATGCATGCATGCATGCATCATACGTTCATGCGTACATGCATGCGTACATACGTACATACATGCATGCATACAGGCATACATACGTACGTACATACATGCATGCATACAGGCATACATACGTACGTACATATGTACATACATACATGCATGCATGCATGCATGCATGCATGCATACATACATACATACATACATACGTACATACATACATATATACATGCATGCATACACACATACTCACATACACACATACATACAGACAGACAGATAGCCAGACAGACAGACAGACATACGTACATACACGTGTATATCTATATATATATATATATATCGAACCATATATAGGTATATACATATATATAAGCCCCCCACGCTATCTGGGAACCCTAGAACAACGCACCAGGGTGCAAAGCGAGGCATCCACGCCGGCCAGCGGCTCGCGCGCTCACTGGGCCCGCTGGGCTTGCCCGCGGCACCGAGCGGGCACCCGCGGCGCGGAAGGAGCCGACGTCCAAGGCCGCGCAGCATCTCGCGCTGGCGCGCCCACGCCATCCAGGAGCAGTACGCAGCGGTGGTGCGCACGCACGGCGGCATAATCGCAAGGCCCCCAATTATTGCCCTACCCGCCTGAGAACTTCTATCCGCGCGGGGCGCAGATTGCTGTGATGAGATTGCCGGTGGCTGGCTGCGGCGTGCATCATCGCATTCATGGGCACTGCATCTGACTGTGTCGCCCGAGTGGTTCGCGTAGTACGGGCCTTGTTCCAGGCGCGGAATCAAGAGTCGACGTGCCTGCGGTCGGCTTGATCGCGTTGCACGTGAGATCGCAGCCAGCGCGTCGCCGCACGGAGGGAGCAAAGAGGAGGGAAGATGGGAAGGATGAGGAGGGAGGAGGGGAAGGGAAGAGGAGGAAGGAGGACGACGGAGGGGACACAAGGAAGGAGGCAGGAAGAAAGAAGAATGAAGACAGAGGAAGGCAAAAGGAAGGCGGCAGGCGCGAGGCGGGAGGAGCACGCCTTCCACCCCGCGAAGTCGAAGCTCATGCCCTCCCACATCTCGCTGATCTCTTTGAGCTTCTGCTCTATGAGGAGCTGCTTGTCCGCGCCTTCGCATATGTCCGAGATCTCGTCTGTGAACTCGTTGAGCTGGGCGTCGATGAGGGACTGCAGCTTGAAGTTCTCCGACTCGATCGGCAACTCCTTCTGGGTAATATCCATCACCTGCTGCCAGTGCCGCACCTGGATGCTTGGCTTGCCGAGCTCCATGAGCAGCGGCAAGACTTCCTGGAAGTCCTCAATCTCCTTCTTCAGCTCGTGGTACGCGGGCCAATCGCGCAGCTGCTTGGGCATTTTCTTGCAGCGACCCGAGAAGTTGTCGATCTGTTTCTGCATGGTATCCATATGGTCGGGTACCTCGGACCACAGATAGTCACGCCATTCTTTAATGGTCTCCAAAACCGCGACATACAGATCATACAGCTGCCCGAGATACTGGAGCTCCTGCTTCGTCTGGTCCAGCGTGGGGTACTGCTGGTGCGGCACGCCGAACAGGTCCTCACCGAGCAGGTAGATGTACTGTTTGCGCCCCCTGACCTCGTACTCCTCCTTGAACCTCTTCAGGCGCTCCACCGCCTCGCGAGGCGGTATGCCACGCACCATCGGCCCACTGCGCTCGTACTCGGCGCGGAATCTGGCGACGTCCTTCTTGAAGGTGTTGACTGTCTTGATCAAGTCTTTCTTGTACTGTATCTGCTTCAGGGCCAGCTCCTCCTGCCGGTTCTCGCTCTCGGCCAACAGATCGTGCCAATTTTTCTGGTACATGGTGCGTGCATCCATCTCTTCCTTGTCCATGATCTGTGGCAGGTGCTCGTCCAAGATACGGTACATGTGCTCGATTGGGACAAACTCCAACTCGATCTCGCTCTGCTTCGCTCGCACATCCTGCAGAGTCTGCATGACGTATGACAGCGACTCGATGTCGCCGTTAACTACCTCACGCAACAGCTTCTTCCGGGTAGACTTGACCATCTCGCTTACGTCCTCTAACCTTGCGAAGGCCTCCCTGTGCAGATGGCCAGCGTACACCTCCTTCCACTTGTTGGCCAGCTCCTTCAGGCTCTTGGACAGGCTACTGGTCTGTAGCATCAGCGCCGAGATCTGGTGCTGTCCCTCCATCTTGTCCACTTGCTCCTCTATCTGCACGAAGTATTTCAGCTTGCTCTCGAACTCGTCCAGTGTGGGCTCTGGTTCCTTGAACTTCTTGTAGCTCTCGTTGATGTCGTCATTCCAGCACCACTCGTATGAGGAGAACTGCGACAGATACAAGTTGCACTGGCTCTTGGCCGATTGGATGCTGCCCGTCAGCAGCAGGACTACCTTCAGGATCTCGCGGTCCTTCGCGATGCGATCATAGAAGGTGCCCTGCGACCCCGTGCCCTGGACCGGGGGCAGGTTGGGGTTCAGGATGAGCTGCACGTTCTTCGGGATCGTCACGGTATCCCACGCCTCGATCATCTTAGAGCACTTGAGCACGGCGAGGGCGCCACCATTGATCGCGGTTTGTATCTCCTCTACAGAAGGTGCGAGTCGGACACCGACCCCGTCTAGCTGCAACTCCACCTCGAAGAAGGCTGGCGGGAGCCCCTTGCCTTGCCTGTCATTCGAAGACAAACGAAGCTTCATGGCGCGCAGCGACCGCTTGGTGGCGTTCAGGAGCGCCTGGTACATGGACCAGTTGTAATGAGCCTTCACCTTGATTATCTCGCTCTCGGTGACGGCTGGCACATGCGGGTCGAACTCGAATGCCACCATTGTGCCCAGCATGTCGTTCACGGCGTTCTCGATCTCGAGGCTCTTGGCCACCAGGAAATCAGTTGTGGACCTCACGTGGCGCTCCTGCATGTCAACAAACTCTTCGAGGGTCACCAGCTCCTGCTCTTCTGGCAGATTGACCAGAAGCACGTTAGACACGAGCTTCAAGTTGGCGTCGATGCGGTTCTCCATAAGATCGTTCACCGTCATGACCAATTGCTCGAGCTTGTCCAGTTCCTTCCACACGTCCTCGAGGTACGACTCAATGTTCATGGAAGTCCACGTTAGGGTCACCATGCCAGGTCGCATCTTGAAATCGAGATTTTCTACGTGGGGCTTCAGGAGGTTCGAGGCGATTGGCTTAATCATGCCCTTCACGCGCCCGTACTCTTTGAGGAAATAAGACAGCTCGTGGTTGTAGGTCTTGAACTTCTGCTCTTGCAGTAGCACCATTTTCGCGCCCTCCGGGATCATGATGCCACCCATGCGGTCCATGCACCTCGTCTCTCGAATCAGCTGCAGGATCTCGCTGTCGAAGTTGACGTGGAAGCGCATACCGTCTTCAGGATGCTTGATCACCAGCGTCGCCTGCAGGCCAGCCTTGACGGCCTCGATGGAATTCACCCAAGACTGATACCAGAGGGTCTCGAACTCGATCAGCGTCTTGGCCATCTTGTTGTACATGCGGATCAGCTTCTTGGAATCTTTTAGCGAGAACAAAGAGGGGTTCTGCTGGAACTTGCGCATCGGCCCCTCGATCCGCTTGTACAGGTGGCGGGACCAGGTGATGTTGCCGGCGACGGGGGGGAGGTTCCTCACCAGCGGGGGCGCGGCCTTGAACTTCTCGTACTGGTCCTGCACTTGCGTGAGCTCCACCCCGTAGTTGTGGAAGATCACAGCGAATTTGGACTCCAGGTCGGCTCGCAGGTTCTCGCGCTGCAGTATGCTCTGGAACTTCTGCAGCAGCTTGAGCGAAGACTCGATAGACGCGATCTGTTCAAAGGACTGGTTGATAAAGAGGCGCAGGTTGCTCTCCAAGTCTGAGATGCGGACCAAGAACTCCACGTAGTCGCGGTCGAAGCGGTTGCTGTGAAAGTCCAGGAGATCGTGGCGCTTGATCTGAAACTCCTCCAGGATGGCTTTGAAAGATTTCACCAGCGGCTCCATACCATCGAATCGATGCTGCGAGAGCGACGTGAACTGATGGATGGTCTGAAACATGTCGATCAGCTTATACACCCGCCTGCAGAACAAATCGAAGCGCCCGAAGATGAGGGTCTCGCTGAAGTCGAACTGCTTGCCCTTCGGCAACGTCAACAGCGTGTCTTTCGTGTCTTTATACTGCGATTGGTAGGCGTCATTCAGCTTGATGCAGGACTCGAGGTTCTTGATCAGCACCAGGGGGTCCTTCTTCCACAAGGAGTCCGACTCGCCCCCCTCTTCCAGCACACACTCCTTGCAATTCGTGATCATCTGATTGGTGATTTTGGCGAATAAGTTCGTCATCCGCTCGGTCGTGTTGTAATACCTCGCGATCGTGTGGATCATCTTCACAGCATTCATCAGGGCGGGGAGGGTGTCAACTATCGTGGCAGGGGTGCTTGTATAGAGAGGATCGATGAACTTCTCCAGCGTAGTGAGATACTTCACGTTGTCCTTCGCCTCGTTGAAAGCCTCGGGCGGGTCCCGAGTCCCGCCTCGCCACGACCCTTGGAAGAAAAACATCGCTCCCAGGGCCAATCGTAATACAAAATGCTTGACAGCCCTTAGAGGGTACTAACCCCTCGTAGGAAACAAACAAAAATATCATTCCCAAGGCCAAGATTCATTGCCAAGACCGCGATCGTGCCTCTGGCACGAAGTGGAGTGCCTCCAGGTCCTGGGGATGATTTGCTGGCTTCGACCGTTCACATTGCGCCCGTAGGCCACAACCTGGCCACGGTGGCGGGATGAGGCGAAGGCCGCAGGATGCTGTCGACCATCGCTTCAGGGCCCGAACATATCCCAAGAGCGCCAAAGCTGCAAGATGAAGGCCACAGGGAGCCAAAGGGCCCCAAGAGGGCCACAAGATGGCCCCCGAGGGGGTATCAATGAGTACAGTTGAACCGACTCCCCTCCCAACTGGCACGGCCCTGGCCCCACGGACCGACGTGCCCCTCCAGGTGGTGCTGCCCCCCTGGGCCTCGCGGGGCATACATCCCTACCTGGGGGGAGGGCTGGTGGGGCTGCAGCACCATGGCCCAGTGAGGATGAGGATTCGTTGAAACGATGTTTTTGGTTAGAGTCAAGCGCTAACTCCCAGGCAGGCAAGGAAAGAACGAGGGCCGGAAAAGGACGAAGGAGCGAAAGACTCTACAAGGATGCTGAGTTACATGGGCTCGGGGGACTCACCTGGCCAGCCTGCTCAGATCACCCGCCTGTGGGCCTGCCGAAGCCGGCCCCGTCCGCCGCCTCTGGCCCCGACTCGCCCCATGCAGTTCAAATGCTGAAGGAACCCACAGGTGCTCATGCGAATCAGACCAGGATTCCAAGGCGAGGGGCCAAATCTCTGTGCGCATCCCCGTCATTGTGGCTGCCCCCCCCCTTGATCGGGGAACGTCAACTGTCCACGTCACCGATCCTGGCCGGGCCCATCCTTGGCATGGATCGGTGTACAACCACACCTTTCCCTGGCCATGGCGGTCCCAGGCCCAGGACCAGCCCGGCCGTCTCCCTGTTACATTCTGACAGAGGACTCCGAAGCGCACGAAGCCTCAAGCAGCGGGGGCCCCCCGCAAGCAAGCAAAGGTCCGATCGGACGCCCGAAAGCGTCACGCCCCACGAGTGGGGACGGAGAACTTATAAAACAGGCCTGCAGTGACGAGCAGCGCGAGGCCCCAGAGGGCCGAGGGCGTCGGCAGGGGCGTTGGTGTCGGTGTGCTCCCCTCCTCCGACGGCTACAGCACCCCGGGCCACACGACCCAAGCCGGCCCTCTGCCCTGGCGCGCAGCGGGTCCTCTACGCCGCCGACGAGCCCCGACTGCCCCGACCCTGACGTGAGGTCGGGCATGTCCTCCTATGAAAAATATATTTCTTTTTGATCTGAAAATAAATCATAAGATAACGAAAAGTCGTCGCCTGAATATTAAGATTCTTGAATATTCCTCCTGTAGCGGGACATGCCCGACTTAACCCTGGCGATGCGCCGATTCCGTACGCCGCCACTATCGGCGGCGAGCCGGGGGAAGTGTGAAGGGGCGGGCCTCCTCAGAAGGCTCGGAAGTCCCCCAGCCTTCTGAGAAGTTTTCTCAGCCTTCCCCGAAGACACAAAAAAGACTCAGAAGGCTGGAGGCCTTCTGAGAAGCCCCGCCGCCCGCTGATCGGGGAGACCTAAAACTCGGGTTCGGGGTACTCTGGTTGACCTGGCGAGGCCATTATGAAAAGAACGAGACCCACACTGAGATTTGGCGCGCGCTCCCGCTGCGGACATCCCCCGAAAACTGGACCGTCAAAATCGAGGACGGGCTCGTCAAAAAGCGTCGGCGAACCCAAGTTCTGGCGTGCTCGAGTCCTCCTTCTCACTGACCCCCCTCGCTCGCCGCTGACACTAGACTCTGACTGGCTTCGCCTCTTCTGGACGCCCCTGGGAGTTCCGCCGGCCTGGACTAAAACGGGCTGCAAAAGAAACCCGGTTCTCGTCGTCATCGACGGTCGACCACGAAGCGAGGACCGGGTCTTCGGGCGGTTCGGGGCGGCACGAGGCGACTGTCTGGGCGTGCCGGAGGGGGGGTGCTGGGGAGCTCTGGGGGGCAGGAGGAGTCGCATTAATTTTGCATGTGGGACAAGCTCCGACTTTCACTGCTTGGGGTTCACGCGCCTGCATCGCGTGCTCACATGAGAAGCCTGCGCTGCAGGGCAGCAGCTTGGCTGCAGACGCATGCTGGGAGTCGGTTGCAACCCATCCAAATGATCTAAAACATCGAATTACGGCGGGTCACCCGGATCCTCCTCAGACGTCCTCCCCCGCCACCCGCCTCTCTGCGTTAGGCCACGGCGCCTCTGTGATCAGGATGTCGATCTGCTTCCAGCGGCGCAGCGTGTTGAACACGGTCTGGCGGGCCTTCGGAGCCACGTCCTGGTTGACGCGCGTGATGGCCTGCCGGCGCGTCCTCCCCTCCAAACCTGCAGGCCCCCCAAACGGGGACGAAGAGACGGGGCCAAGGATCACGCCGCATCGCCGGCGCATCGTTATTTCGTCGGAACTTCTGCCATGGGTCCGGGGGCTTCGGCAAAGGCTCCAGGAAGGCTCCGAGGACGCCCCCGGGAGGCTCCGGGACGAGAGGGGGCCCCTTGTGTACCTCGGGTGGCCCTGGTGGTCTTGGACCCCAGACACCGTGGCGCAGCTCTACACTCCAGTCGGTGGCTCGAAGGCTGAATGGCATCACAAGAAGCCTGTGATGTTCGAAGGGCCCGCCTTGCTGGCGCCGCAGCCACTCGCAGCGCCAGAGAACAGCACGAGGCCATGGCACCCGCCAGTCGGGAAGGTGGAGTCGAGAAGATGCGCAGCCATCGCTGCGAATTGCATCCTCACCCGAAACGTGCCACCCAAAGCCGTGGCCCGCAACAGGCGCACGCTTCGTGGCACTACAAGATCGCACCCTCACTCGGGTCATTGACGCCGATATTCCGGAATGCCACCGCCAGACCGCCCGCGACAAAATGTTTTTCCACATCGGCGTGCAGGACCCCCGAACCGGTCAGCACGATAAGATCCGCCCAGGCTGCTGCTGTCGTGGTCTCGATGGCCACCCGCTGGGCACCAACGGCAGCGCCAGCACCGCGGAGGCGGCGGCGTTCGCGAATCAACCATGAACGCAGCAAGCTCTGCCAGAACGGGGTCCCGCATGAACCGAACCGATGCATACTGGCCACGTGAATCTCTGGCCCAAAGCGGAATGGTGCGCCCGTCGGGAGGGAACCGTACGGCGTGGAACTGCCATCCACCAGCTCGAAGAGCACGTGGCCAATGGGCGAGGCACATCCAAGCAAGAACTTACTAACAGGGCTCATTGCCTGCGGCTACAAGGGGCAAAACTATGCGCGTAATACAAGAGTTATCCCTAAGGCTGGACGTCACTGAACGCCACTCTTTCGAGATCCTAAGGAAGGAACATCGAGCTACTTCTGACAAAAAATAGAAGCAACCAAATCTTAACCTTCGTGTGACACACACTGAACGTAATGAAACCAGCCATGACGATAATAATGGCAGAAACAACAACAACAATAACTACAACAACAACAACACCAACAACAACAACAACAATTACTAGCACGTGGGGACACTCCGTTCTCACCAGTGCCAGGGTTTTCATAGGAGGCGGGCAATACCCCCACTTTGTGGGGGGGCCGGTTCAAGCTCTACCAAATTTCCAAACGACTCTTCGCCACCACCCACACCCAGCTTCCCGCCCTATGACGTTCGGACACTTCACTTCGTGGCATGCGGACGACCGTGGCTACTATTCAGGGCCCCGCGGCCGACGACGACGGCGTGCGCGCGCGAAGAAAAAACGAATGTGTCCCGCATGGTATTATTTGACAGGGATGATGGCCCTGGCAGGTGCGCAACCGTTGTCGCAGAAGTTCGAAAAAGTTGCTCGCAAAAGCCCGTTTGACAGAAATGTTTAAAAAGTGTTGGGTTTCCTACGAATCCGCAAGAGCGCGCGGGATGAGATTTTGACAATTTTTTGTTGAAAAACCATTGGTTTTTTGATGTTTTTATGTTAAAATCGCTGCGAACACTAAGGTTTTGGAAGGATTTCGTCTTGCGCGCGCGAATGTCCACTTTACCTTATTTTTTGCAAGGGATTCTTGAAATTTGATTATATTAGAACAAGAAATGTCATTTTATAGTGTTTTTTGCAAGGGAAAGCGGGGGGGAACAAAACAACCGGATCTTGATCACATCGAATTACCTGAGGCTTCCTCTCGAAAATGATGAAAATGTAGCTGCGGCCTAGGCGGCGCAGGGGGGGCGCGCACCAGGGGGCCCAACAATAATTATTCTTTAGAATAAATAATGTTCAACAACAACAACAACAACGCAAGGACACTCTCTGGGGCTGGCCCGGCGAGGCCCGGGGAAGTCCGCTCGCCCCGGGAGCGAGCGCACACACCTGGGCCAGTGTTGCTGTTGTTGCCAGGGGGGGAGCTACGCGCAACACCTCTGCTGAATTCTCTTGTACATGACACAGACCATGTGCCACAGAATCTGCGAGGGCACCCCTACGAACACAAACGTCTGCCTGACTGCAGATCCACCGTGGCCGCCGGCAAACCGACTTTGTTGTCGTCCAAATCATTGCAGTACTAGAAGTCCTAGCAGTGCTAGTAGCAGTAGCAGCAGCAGCAGCAGTAACAGTAGCAGTA